ACCTGTAATGTATTTAACGAGGACTAGAACTTACCTAACTGACTGCAATATCGCGGCTCCGACTGATACACCGAATCTTTAGATAACCTGTAATGTATAAAAACAAGGACTAGAACTTACCTTTCCTGTCCGACGAAGACATTAAGATATTATATTTTCCATTCGAGCACATGGATATGACAAAGCTAGAGCCGATGCTGTCTATATATTGTATGATAGTATCATTGTCTTCATTGTCTGTATTGAATAACATTACCATTGGTTCACCTGATATCTCTACACCCAATGTCCTAATGTTATTACTCCGTAACATTGTATTGATATATTAACGGACGACCTAATTAATACAATATGTAAATATGAAGCGAAATAAAGAGTCATGTTTACTTGAACACTGATGACATTGAAGCTATTTCAACGGATAAAACCCCAATGAAATGCAATGCCACGGACTGATGTTTTGTTCTGATAACAGTACGATTGATGAGATGTCAAAACTAATATAACTAAGTACTGTAAAACATAAATCTTCTCTATGTTACTGTGTTAGGAAATCAAAAGTGGCTCTACCACAAAACTCAATAAACTCCCCACGTGAACAACTTCGAACAGCTGGGTCGCTATGACATTTATCGGAAACCTAACTGTGAACGTCCGACATTTTGATTGGTTTAAAATATCCTTATCAATCTACTAAATATCCTTCTCGGAAAAAGGTATTTCATCATCAGCTGGAAATTGATTAATTGAATACAAAGTACGTATGAAAACCTTTCAGCATCAACATTGCAAAAGAAACTCTTTATTCGGCTTCATTTTTGTATTAAACAAAAAATGATAATAGTGACTTTTATTTCCATGTATCTCCTAAACCTAGACTTGATTCCGGATTAATCCTACACCTTAAAAAACTTATTCCGGATTTATCTAACCGACGTTGCTTCATTTGTTGAAAAAACAAACTTTATTGAAATCGCTGAAATTTTGTAACAAAATGGTAAAGTGTCACAATGTAAATTTTAAAATTTATCAATAAAGATAGTCAGTAGGGTGGGTTATATATTTCATTAAGTGAATGTGAAAGTAAATCCTCACCATTGGTCAATTACTTTTATATATTGATTCAATTACTTTAAGTACTGTTTGGGACATTTAAATAATCAGTTGTTATATTTACAGTAACATTATTACAGAAGTGTGTACAATAACACGCTTATTTAGAATTGTAAGCAGTTAAAAAGTACGTATATATAAGACCAACAGTTAAATATGTTCTTTGAATAGAAAGAAACCAGATACCGTAAAAAGTCAAATAACGGATTAAACAGCATGAAATAGCTTCTTCGTCCTTCTTTGACTCATCAGTAATGTAACTAAATCGATCATTATATCGATCATTGTTATGTCGTGTTCATTCGACTGTAACCATTTTACAACATGATCATTGATGACAGAAATCAGCCTGTGGATACGGAGATCACCTTAGCCCTATCAACACAGCGTTTGGTTTTACCGGAGTCCGTCAGCCAAGGCAGTAATTCTATAAACATTTATTGAAGCTATCACATCTTTGTGCATAAAATACTAAAGAACCCGTGCCGAGAATTATCTCTACTTTCAGCCCATTTCTTCCAAACTCCTGGCAACTAAAGCACCAACTGTAATATAAAAAAAAATAGTTATGTGAGATAGATGTTCGTAACTACCGGTAGGCTCATCGCCGCCACATTCAGGGGATAAGTAACACCAGCGCAAAGTTTCCAAAGTGGCATCTTTCTTTACAAGTGTGTGTGTGGAAGGGGGGGGGGGGTAACTGTTGTTTGTATTTGGTGCATTTTCACGTATATTGATATTGTCATTTTTTTTTTTTTTTTTTTTACAATTTTCGATATGTTAACGTGACTACTGCATCAGTATTTTAGATGTACAACACGCGCTCATAAAACATCTAAACATTGATACTTATGCGAGTCACGCGTATGTATGAGAATCATAATACTCATTTTTGTATTAACATCCACCTAAGCAGTCAAAAAGCTGTTTTGAAACAAATTTCAGTAATGGATACATTTAACTACTTATACTTATTCTTTACATTGTACAGTCCTGTGGGAACCACCGCTGGTGATGGAAGACTTTTAACTTGACCTCTACTACAGCGTTCAGACATTATTACCTCTTTACTGCTAGTTGTATTATTAATAACACTTACACGTGGAGAATTCAGAATGCTTGGCTCTCCGTTTTAAAACTTCTGTAAATTTTTTTTTTGTTCGTATTTTTATCTGATCAGAAACATGCACGTGACTAAATGTAATGAAACTTCAATTTATCCTTAATCCTTCTCAATCTTAAATTCACCTCAGATTGATATAGAACTGTTAAACAAATCACTTCAATTTATGGTATATTTACATTCTTTATATGTCTAATATTGAAATAAGAAACAATGAAGAGTTGATTTTAAACGGTCACAATATATTATTCAGGAAGCTCAGGGCAAATTTAATGTTTTATCTTTACCGGGCGTGTAATGCGTGGCCGTGGTCATGTTATCTATTTACAGCAAGAAGAAAACACATTTCTCAGTTACTTTCTGTCTACAATTTCATAAAAGTGTTTTAAGAAACTCTTGTGATTTTTTTTCCTAAAAAGAAAATTTATTGCGATAAAAATAACATTTATACATTTATAAACATGTTTCAAAAATAGTTTTCCAATCCGCACCTTACCACTTCTCTAAGAAGGAGAATAATTTATATAGCTTCATAAAGAAAGCAAATATGTACATTTAACATATTTTTGTTGAAAATATTTTGAGAATAGGGTAATCGCTAATAATTGTTATTAAAAAACTTCATAGAGAGTACGAAAAGGTTAAGACGCCGAGAAATGACGTCATAGCACATAATATCGTTAAGAACAAACAGAAAAGAGGGACGTCAAATCTCGGCAGCATCTCACGTAAATAAATATATTTCTCGTTTCTGTTTCTCTTTTTTTCTTCCCTGTCCTCCAATATGTCCGCGTCATTGTCCTCCGAGTCATCAATGTCCAAAGGCTTTACCTGACATTGGGTTCCTCGTGTGTTGAAGCCAAACATTTTGGAAAAGAATGCTGGTACAATGGTTTCTCCGTTCTCAAGAAACAGTCGAATTTGTATGACTGTTATCAGGACTATAACCACACTGAACACCAGCAGCGCGAGTAGATACATGGTCAGGTAGGACACGTTTTTGGAGTTATGTGGCAGTTCTGCAGTGATTAATCCCAGAAATACAGCATACGATAGATACACTGTCACACAGAACGAGTTCCTCTCTCCTGAAGACAGGGGAATCAGGAACACACAGATGTTCAAAAATGCCAGCAGGATGACGGGTGCGATAATTGTCAAGACCACAAATTTAGGTCTTCGTTGTAGGTGGAAGAAATAATCTATAAAAGAAATGGACACTCCGTAGTCCCGCTCCCTATTTTGAACCTCGGATTTCACAATTGACCATTCGACATTTTCCTTGAACGAGCTGATGTCAAACGATTTTGACGTTGCCACAAGTGCCACTTCAGAAGAAGGAGAATTCCAAATTTCAAATACCAAAGAGCATTCCTGAGTATCAAAAGGATAATATGTTATATCGACCTCACATGTAACAACGAAACTGTCTGCTGGAAACCATTTTACCTTCCCATCGGCGTGTACCACAGCGTTCGTAGACGATTGAGAAAGCATGTTTATTCTCCCAAATGTGTTGACAAGGGCAATGCTCGGAAGCCATATTGAGTTTCCATCGATATGTACTTGTGAGATATTTCCAAACTCTGACGTGTTCCAATTTAGCACTTCGTCTGTCCATTGTATGATAAACCAACCAGCTATTACAAGTTTCTGTGACTTTTCATCGAATTCGTTTATTGAGCTCAGAAAGAAACTCATCTCCACAAGCAAAGGGTCACTTTGATTTAAAACGGGACGGATTCGCTGATCGTAACCATCAAAAATATGTTTGTAAATATTTTTCACATTCTCTAAAGATGGTGATGGGACGATCTCTTTTGTCATCAAGGCCAGTAAGAACGAGGTCAAAATGGCGCCCACCGAAGTCATTTTTAACATACTGTACAATGCAGCGTACATTAACTAACACTAAAATGTTACTCTCGTGACGTTGCTGCAGCTCATTAGGCGTTTGTTGATGACATGGTGTTGGAATTTCCGGTCATATCAACTGAACCAGACATTCGTATATGTATACCGACGATAATCATCGGGAACGGGAAAGAATCAGGTTAATGAGTACAAATCGGCAACCCCGGCTTTAAAACTATGATACTAAATAATGATTTTTGTTAATACAAAGAAACTAGCGAAATTATTACCAATAATGTTTTGTGATCTTTCGTGTGATAAACAAGTTTTTAAACCTGCTAGATCTATAACACTTTGATGTGAATAGCTTAATTTGATCTTGTGTGAGCCAAAGTGTTTATTATTTACACCCGATCAGGTCTACAAATCTAAACATTCAAAAGCGATTTAAACGCTTTGAAGTTCAAATACCTATAATTGAAGATGCATTAAAGTTGTCCATTGATCTTGATGTCATCAAAAATAGCTTCATCGACAAAAGAGAATTCATTATTGACGCCTGTGTATCACCTCCTGCAATATTTCATCGGTATATCAAGTAGAACATATTGGTTATTTGGAACATTTTCTTCATGTTGGTAATGTCAATAGAATAGACGTATTATTACACACTCAGGGCAAGATTAGAGTATGACGTTTCGATGACTACACGGTCACCTTCATCAGACAAATGACCAGTGTGGAGCGTACTAGCACTGATGTACGTAGTGTGCGAGATCTACACGGTCACCTTCATCAGACAAATGACCAGTGTGGAGCGTACTAGCACTTTTTCGGCTGTACTATAACCCTATGTACACTAAGGTCGAAAATAGTGTGACGAGATGGTAAACAGCTTATAGACAAAACAAAAACACCAGATGGTAACAATGTATTGTAGTCATTTCGGCTACGCTCTGTTATAAGTGGGTTAAAAAGTTAGAATCTGGAACTGAAGAACAAGTACTAGAAATACACACAGCTGATTAGTTTAAATCGGTGATGAACATTCAAGTGAAATGATTTGGAACAGTCCGCTAAATCCTTGAAGTTTACCACTTTCTTATCTTCGTTTGGTTCATCACCATACCTGTATATCATTACAACTGTGACAATACTAACAAAGAGAGGATTGTTTCCGATTTGGCTGTACTCATCTACTGACAAAGAAATACACCTCTTGTGAAATAAAATAAAGACAGACAATTCATTGGGTTCCATATTAGTTTGTATTTTTTCATACACATTACCATGGTAACTAATTGGACCTGGATTCTATGAAATATCACCAGTTATAAGCAGAGTATTAATAAGAACAGATTTGTCCCTATGAAGGGATGTGTTATGTAGGTAGCATGAGATCTAGTACAACTGGCGACCATTACAGTAATATTCGTGTTTCCACACTAATCACGTGAGGAGAATGCCAGTTTTCAGCCTTAAATCTTTACCATGGTCTGCACTTCAGCCCTAGCTAATGGATTAGACTGTCACCATATCCATGGATCCATCACAATTATTTCAGGGAATTATTGATGTAAATTTAAATCATCTGAACTATGTCGATTACCAATTAGCCACCATATTAAGCTGTTGCAGTTTCCTCCCTTCAAACACTAAAATCTTACGCACTCCGTATGGACGGGATGTATACGAGAGTTTGTGTGCGAGTGTTGTAAAAGTTAGGTAGGATAATGGGTGGAGACATTTAATGGGTAAAAATGGTAAAAGAAAAATGCCTTCATATTGTTACAGGTTGGTTTAGCCACGTTTAAATAAAAACACAAAACCTGTTGAGTGTTCTGATCATAGTTTACTGTGTGTACCGAAAGAGTATGAACTCTGTGAATATACAAAAATACAACACTATAACTACACTGTATATAAGTATCAGACAAATATGACTAAAACATATTAGTATGGAACATCATTATCATTTAAATAAAATATAATACAATTAACTACTAACGAGTGACTTGATACAATCTAATGATATCAAAATGAAATATGTCCAGGTAAGTACAGACATACATTATATAGAATAGATAATAGATACAGTACAAGTATGAACAGTATCGGTAGTTATGGTAAATACATTAGGTTTAAAGAAACTGGTGAAATTACCTATGTGGGGCATGAAGTTGGTGTACATTTTTATTGGTCGTAAAGGTAAAGTCTGCATAGTTACAAATGAAACATATGACTTTGGAGTATAAATGAATAGACTAATTCTGACGAAAATATCAGGATATAGATTTAAATAAATTACATTCCAGCAGATCCAAATAGATTAATTTGAATAACGCAACATCAAAAAGATATGGAAATACAGGTAAGTATGATCGTAATCTTTACAATACCTGGATTTTATTGTCCATACAAATGATCAAACAGAATAACAATTGGTGGGAGTGTGGAGGATATTAAGATAAATATAAACTTACTTTACTGGTTCCCAGGTATTTCACGATCACTGTTACTGAAGCGTCCGATCCATCTGTCGGTCAGTCAAACAATGACCGGAACTTACAAAAAACCGCGAAATCAAAAGAACCAATAAAATAAAAAAAAAACATAAAATTGTGACGTAAGACAAAATTTCACTGACCAATGACCACACGACACTATATGAAAAAGGCAATAACGAGAGTATCTTCTCAAGTATACACGAGACTAATGAACAAGATACAGTATAGATGAAGGCTACGCATTGAGGCATCGTTTGGAAACCATATTGAATTTGCCTTTACAGATACATTCATTTTATTTCTAATTTCAACCAATTTTATTGAAATATAGGACAAAGGGACTGGACATCAGAGAGAGCCTATTTGTCCTCATTCACACATAACATCACAGGGACTGGACATTAGGCCGAACTTGCTTAAGTCCACATCCACGCATAACATCACATGGACTGGACATCAGGCAGGGCCTATTTGTCCTCATTCACACATAACATCACAGGGACTGGACATCAGGCAGAACCTGTTTAAGTCCTCATCCACGCATAACATCACAGGGACTGACATCAGACAGAGCCTTTTTGTCCTCATTCACACATAACATCACGGGGACTGGACATCAGACAGAGCCTATTTGTCCTCATTAACACATAACATCACAGGGACTGGACATCAGGCAGAACCTGTTTAAGTCCTCATCCACGCATAACATCACGGGGACTGGACATCAGACAGAGCCTTTTCGTCCTCATTCACACATAACATCACGGGGACTGGACATCAGACAGAGCCTTTTTGTCCTCATTCACACATAACATCACGGGGACTGGACATCAGACAGAGCCTATTTGTCCTCATTAACACATAACATCACAGGGACTGGACATCAGGCAGAACCTGTTTAAGTCCTCATCCACGCATAACATCACGGGGACTGGACATCAGACAGAGCCTTTTTGTCCTCATTCACACATAACATCACGGGGACTGGACATCAGACAGAGCCTTTTCGTCCCCATTCACACATAACATCACGGGGACTGGACATCAGACAGAGCCTTTTTGTCCTCATTCACACATAACATCACGGGGACTGGACATCAGACAGAGCCTTTTTGTCCTCATTCACACATAACATCACGGGGACTGGACATCAGACAGAGCCTTTTCGTCCCCATTCACACATAACATCACAGGGACTGGACATCAGACAGAGCCTTTTTGTCCTCATTCACACATAACATCACGGGGACTGGACATCAGACAGAGCCTATTTGTCCTCATTCACACATAACATCACGGGGACTGGACATCAAGCAGAACCTGTTTAAGTCGTCATCCACGCATAACATCACAGGGACTTGACATCAGACAGAGCCTATTTAAGACCTCTCGCACACATAACATCACGGGGACTGGACATCAAGCAGAACCTGTTTAAGTCGTCATCCACGCATAACATCACAGGGACTTGACATCAGACAGAGCCTATTTAAGACCTCTCACACACATAACATCACAGGGACTGGACATCAGGCAGAGCCTATTTGTCCTCATTAACACATAACATCACAGGGACTGGACATCAGGCAGAACATGTTTAAGTCCTCATCCACGCATAACATCACAGGGACTTGACATCAGACAGAGCCTATTTAAGATCTCTCAAACACATAACATCACAGGGACTGGACATCAGACAGAGCCTTTTTGTCCTCATTCACACATAACATCACGGGGACTGGACATCAGACAGAGCCTATTTGTCCTCATTAACACATAACATCACAGGGACTGGACATCAGGCAGAACCTGTTTAAGTCCTCATCCACGCATAACATCACGGGGACTGGACATCAGACAGAGCCTTTTTGTCCTCATTCACACATAACATCACGGGGACTGGACATCAGACAGAGCCTTTTCGTCCCCATTCACACATAACATCACGGGGACTGGACATCAGACAGAGCCTTTTTGTCCTCATTCACACATAACATCACGGGGACTGGACATCAGACAGAGCCTTTTTGTCCTCATTCACACATAACATCACGGGGACTGGACATCAGACAGAGCCTTTTCGTCCCCATTCACACATAACATCACAGGGACTGGACATCAGACAGAGCCTTTTTGTCCTCATTCACACATAACATCACGGGGACTGGACATCAGACAGAGCCTATTTGTCCTCATTCACACATAACATCACGGGGACTGGACATCAAGCAGAACCTGTTTAAGTCGTCATCCACGCATAACATCACAGGGACTTGACATCAGACAGAGCCTATTTAAGACCTCTCACACACATAACATCACAGGGACTGGACATCAGGCAGAGCCTATTTGTCCTCATTAACACATAACATCACAGGGACTTGACATCAGGCAGAACATGTTTAAGTCCTCATCCACGCATAACATCACAGGGACTTGACATCAGACAGAGCCTATTTAAGATCTCTCACACACATAACATCACAGGGACTGGACATCAGGCAGAACCTATTTGTCCTCATTAACACATAACATCACAGGGACTGGACATCAGGCAGAACATATTTGTCCTCATTAACACATAACATCACAGGGACTGGACATCAGGCAGAACCTGTTTAAGTCCTCATCCACGCATACCATCACTGGGACTGGACATCAGACAGAGCCTATTTGTCCTCATTCACACATAACATCACAGGGACTGGACATCAGGCAGAACCTGTTTAAGTCTTCATCCACGCATAACATCACAGGGACTGGACATCAGACAGAGCCTTTTTGTCCTCATTCACACATAACATCACAGGGACTGGACATCAGACAGAGCCTTTTTGTCCTCATTCACACATAACATCACGGGGACTGGACATCAGACAGAGCTTATTTCTCCTCATCCACACATAACATCACAGGGACTGGACATCAGGCAGGGCCTATTTGTCCTCATTCACACATAACATCACAGGGACTGGACATTAGGCCGAACTTGCTTAAGTCCACATCCACGCATAACATCACATGGACTGGACATCAGGCAGGGCCTATTTGTCCTCATTCACACATAACATCACGGGGACTGGACATCAGACAGAGCCTTTTCGTCCTCGTTCACACATAACATCACAGGGACTGGACATCAGACAGAGCCTTTTTGTCCTCATTCACACATAACATCACGGGGACTGGACATCAGACAGAGCCTATTTGTCCTCATTAACACATAACATCACAGGGACTGGACATCAGGCAGAACCTGTTTAAGTCCTCATCCACGCATAACATCACGGGGACTGGACATCAGACAGAGCCTTTTTGTCCTCATTCACACATAACATCAAGGGGACTGGACATCAGACAGAGCCTTTTTGTCCTCATTCACACATAACATCACGGGGACTGGACATCAGACAGAGCCTTTTCGTCCTCACTCACACATAACATCACAGGGACTGGACATCAGACAGAGCCTATTTGTCCTCATTCACACATAACATCACGGGGACTGGACATCAGACAGAGCCTATTTGTCCTCATTCACACATAACATCACGGGGACTGGACATCAAGCAGAACCTGTTTAAGTCGTCATCCACGCATAACATCACAGGGACTTGACATCAGACAGAGCCTATTTAAGATCTCTCACACACATAACATCACAGGGACTGGACATCAGGCAGAGCCTATTTGTCCTCATTAACACATAACATCACAGGGACTGGACATCAGGCAGAACCTGTTTAAGTCCTCATCCACGCATAACATCACAGGGACTGGACATCAGACAGAGCCTTTTTGTCCTCATTCACACATAACATCACAGGGACTGGACATCAGACAGAGCCTTTTTGTCCTCATTCACACATAACATCACGGGGACTGGACATCAGGCAGAACCTGTTTAAGTCTTCATCCACGCATAACATCACAGGGACTGGACATCAGACAGAGCCTTTTTGTCCTCATTCACACATAACATCACAGGGACTGGACATCAGACAGAGCCTTTTTGTCCTCATTCACACATAACATCACAGGGACTGGACATCAGACAGAGCTTATTTCTCCTCATCCACACATAACATCACAGGGACTGGACATCAGGCAGGGCCTATTTGTCCTCATTCACACATAACATCACAGGGACTGGACATTAGGCCGAACTTGCTTAAGTCCACATCCACGCATAACATCACATGAACTGGACATCAGGCAGGGCCTATTTGTCCTCATTCACACATAACATCACAGGGACTGAACATCAGGCAGAACCTGTCTAAGTCGTCATCCACGCATAACATCACAGGGACTGGACATCAGACAGAGCCTTTTTGTCCTCATTCACACATAACATCACGGGGACTGGACATCAGACAGAGCCTTTTCGTCCTCGTTCACACATAACATCACGGGGACTGGACATCAGACAGAGCCTATTTGTCCTCATTAACACATAACATCACAGGGACTGGACATCAGGCAGAACCTGTTTAAGTCCTCATCCACGCATAACATCACGGGGACTGGACATCAGACAGAGCCTTTTTGTCCTCATTCACACATAACATCACGGGGACTGGACATCAGACAGAGCCTATTTGTCCTCATTCACACATAACATCACGGGGACTGGACATCAGACAGAGCCTTTTCGTCCTCACTCACACATAACATCACAGGGACTGGACATCAGACAGAGCCTATTTGTCCTCATTCACACATAACATCACGGGGACTGGACATCAGACAGGGCCTATTTGTCCTCATTCACACATAACATCACGGGGACTGGACATCAAGCAGAACCTGTTTAAGTCGTCATCCACGCATAACATCACAGGGACTTGACATCAGACAGAGCCTATTTAAGATCTCTCACACACATAACATCACAGGGACTGGACATCAGGCAGAGCCTATTTGTCCTCATTAACACATAACATCACAGGGACTGGACATCAGGCAGAACATGTTTAAGTCCTCATCCACGCATAACATCACAAGGACTTGACATCAGATAGAGCCTATTTAAGATCTCTCACACACATAACATCACAGGGACTGGACATCAGGCAGAACCTATTTGTCCTCATGAACACATAACATCACAGGGACTGGACATCAGGCAGAACATATTTGTCCTCATTAACACATAACATCACAGGGACTGGACATCAGGCAGAACCTGTTTAAGTCCTCATCCACGCATACCATCACTGGGACTGGACATCAGACAGAGCCTATTTGTCCTCATTCACACATAACATCACAGGGACTGGACATCAGGCAGAACCTGTTTAAGTCCTCATCCACGCATAACATCACAGGGACTGGACATCAGACAGAGCCTTTTTGTCCTCATTCACACATAACATCACAGGGACTGGACATCAGACAGAGCCTTTTTGTCCTCATTCACACATAACATCACGGGGACTGGACATCAGACAGAGCTTATTTCTCCTCATCCACACATAACATCACAGGGACTGGACATCAGGCAGGGCCTATTTTAGTCCTCCTCAACACCTAACATCAGAGTTGTACAAGACAAAGTACATCAACAATACAGCATAGTCATTACACAACAACAAGGAAGCAAATCCTACCTACCGTTAAAAATACATGGATAATTAAACATGTATCAACCACTAGGCTATATATCTGTAGATATATGTTGAAATTTCTTCACCTCATCAGACATGGGCAAGGAGTATTTTACTTTAGTGATACATTCAGCAATTACAAAACCACAGCTGATTCCAGAAAGCGATTCGTCTTTCCCGTATAAACCAACTCGTGCGCATGTCTGAAGAACCTCTTCAGTGCATTTTCCACTGATAATAATCAGCACAGAACTATTTAATATTTCTGTACTCTGTCCTGAGTTGTCTGCAAACCATTCGGGATATAAGATATAGGATACAGTGCTGGACAACACAAATTATAAAATAAGAAAATCGAGTTCATCGCGTTCATTTAGAACGTCATTTAAATTGCCGCTGTGTCAACAGACATGTCACAATGATTCTAAAAAGCAAAACAAAAAGAAAAGACTATCGTGTCTATTGCAAGGGTCTTAACCGCTCGTCACAAATGACGATTGATATCGGTGCTTATTGTTAACGAGAGATCTGACTTCACAGACGCTCTTTATAATATATTCAAATACATGCATATTTCGTGTAGTCTACACTATAACATTTCACAAGGAATGGGAATAGGTCACAACGCCAATAACGATTGTCATAATGATAAAGACAACAAGGAAACAACAAAACAATGGGCAGTCGAGTTTAGGCAGTACGTCTTTCAAGCAAACACGCGTTTGGTTTCTCTTTGATTGATTGACTTCTTTGTTCTCTAAAACGTCATCCTCGAAGTCAACTACATCATTACTGCCCAAAGGATTTACTTGGGACGTGTTTTTAAAACCCAGCATGTTGGAAATCGATGCCGGTGCCGGAGTTTCGCCATACTCGATGAACAGGCGAACTTGTATGACTGTTATCAGGACTATAACCACACTGAACACCAGCAGCGCGAGTAGATACATGGTCAGGTAGGACACGTGTTGGGAGTTATGTGGCAGTTCTGAAGCGATTAATCCCATAAATACAGCATACGATAGATACACTGTCACACAGAACGAGTTCTTCTCTCCTGAAGACAGGGGAATCAGGAACACACAGATGTTCAAAAATGCCAGTAGAATAACAGGAGTTAACATTGTCAATACGACGAATTTTGGTCTCCGCTTTAGACGTATCATATAATCAACATATGATTGCATTGATGAATAGTCGAGTCCCGAACTTTTAGCTTCAGTCTTTATTAAAGCCCATTCAACATTTTCCTGGAAGTCTATGAGATTCATTGTATCTAAATTTGAGATGAGCGCCACTTCGGAAACAGGTCCATCCCATATTTTGAATCTGAAATAGCAATCCTGAGAATCAAAAGGATAATAAGTAATATCTACTTCACATGTAACAACATAACTGTCCCCAGGGAACCACATCACCGTCCCGTCAAAGTAAACTAGGGCCGTCCCAGCCGAGTGAGTAAGCATAGTTATTTTCCCAAAGGTGTTCATTAGGGCAATATTTGGGAGCCATATTGAATTTCCATCTATATGTACGTGGAACGCGTTACCATATTCAGATTTGTTCCACAATAGGGATTCGTCTGTCCACCGCAAATCAAACACACCTGTTACTGCGAGTTTCTGTGACTTTTCGTCAAATTCGTTTATCGAATTCAATGCGAATGTCATATTCACATGAACAGAATAACTTTGTTTTAACACAGGTCGGAGCCTTTTGTCATAACCATCGAAAATACGTGTGAGGAGTTTTTTCTGTTCGTCTAAAGTTGTTGTAATGTGATGGCTATGAGTCAAACTAGTCATTGACGACAGGAAGCACCAGAGCAACATCTTATTCACCGGTTCCATACCTAGTATATAGTCTTCAGTTCCTGAAATTCAATTCGGAATATAATTAACATAATATAGTATTGGACAGCTATGTAAACATAATTAATATCTTAGATAAAGATTACATGCAACAATAATCAGTAGCGAATTGAAGAAGGTTTCCACAGGCTTCAACTCTCAAATCAGCGGTTCTCTCTTGCAAGCCCGTAAATGACGGACAAACTCGTAACAGGTGCTTTCAAAATTATTGGGAAGTTTTATGGTCGCCATAGTGATCTTATTGAGAAATATTCTATTTCTTTGTGCGATAAGAAACTGGCCGTTTATGATGCTCGTTAGTTTGCCTGTTGGTTCCGTTGTTGTACATCTGTAATATACCATTACGTACCCATATTTAGATTTCGCGCGCAGAGACTGCTTGCGCCGGATGTAGATACCTGAGCGTGGAATACACGGGAGAAACATGATCTCGTGCGGTAACAATAGGAGAGTATGTATAGCGTTACCTACTGCAAATACCTATATACTGGACATTGCCACGCAATCTTCAGCTTGTGGTGAGTATCGTACATATAAACCCATTTGTAAATATCATTTTTATAATGGAAGCTGCTGTGTATATAAACATACACCTATTTTAGATAGTTATTCATAGATATCGGGCACTAGGCATCACGTGTATAAACACGTGCTATAATTAGTTATCATTCAATATTCAGTGCTTTATGCGAAAGTTACGGATTTGATTTGGTATTATTTATTTATTATACGTCAGTTGATGTTGTTTATAGCGTCAAACGTCAGTATGATATTTGTTGGAGTAATCAAGTGATATGTTTTCATACCTGTAACGTGGGACATATCAGTATATTAAGGAGTTCTGGGCTGTATCTATGCATAATTATGTAAATATGTAATTTGATTCCGGATGAATTAAGAACATAGTAGGTGTATTATAACAGATGGTTTTGGAAATATGCAATGGAACATTTCCATTTAATTGTAGTTATGTCCAATGTCTGGTGTAGATACTTTGTATTCAGACACGGCCAGACCGTTGATTGAGTCAAGTTGTATCCTTTGACATCCTTTGTAATACCGGTGATGTGGTATCAGTGACATTGTGTGGTGACTTGCTCAGAGGTGGAATGCTACCCGCCTATATTTTTACAGTGAATAATTATAATGGAAAACAGCCCATTAATGAACTGTTATTACTTAGTGTGATGCTTACGACACTTTGTGTTGTATTCTTAGGTTTATGTATGAATGCGAGTGTAAATGGAGAAAATGTTTGTAGCTATTGTTTATATTGTACATAAGAAACAAATGTTGTAAATAATGTAAACATGGTGTTTTCCTTGCTGTCACTGCTATCATATGGACAACATGCTCATCTCGCTACAACATCGTGTTCTCATTTGAGAACGTCACATTACTTACTTGGATGGAACAAGATTTACACGGCGGGTGTCGTCGATGAAGCAGAAGACGCCTGCTCTGCTGGAACACCTGGTCTTATTACACTGTTTGTGGAATCACTGTGTAAACCTTTCTTTTGTTCAGATTTTGACATTGTGTCATGGAAATTGAGCTTGGATTATCATTATGTTGATATGTTGGTATTGCTTGGTGTTTTTGGAAAAGAAAAATTCACAGGCAAGCAAGATGAAACAATTATGTAATAAAGCAATATTAAAGCAATATCGGCGATGTTTAAAGTTTACTTAACTTTACTGTCTGTAGAAAAACAATGGTGAAAAGAGGGTTCATTTAAATTACATAGACAATAGCCCTACAAACCGTAATTGCAATACTCAATGGTAATCCGTCAGTCAAAAATAGAACTCCGAGTATATCAACGGGCCAGACAACACTGTGTGCTGGAGCAGTCTTTTTGTCATTATGTGAACCATTGATCCGAGGAATCTAATGTCTCTGTTGCAGTAACACGTCACCCTTGCATACAAATTGTAATTAAATCCATTTAACCCGAAATATAATTAATTTACGTTTCATTGACTTGTGAATTATTTCCTGATTCTGATATTCAATTGTTTGAAATACTATAAAACTATGCAGTAATCCCTCCGTCGATGCCAGTGTTGTATTGTCGTCGGTAACGAGAAAAACAAATCGACTATAAAGGATAACCCAAACCTCTTGCGGTTTTTTCCTTTTTTTTAAGGATAACCCATACTTCTTGCGGTTTTTTTTCTGTGAAAGTTCAAACATACAAATCCTATATTGAAAAATATCGATTTTAGAATGATCTTTTTATGGCTCATTTTTAATGGAATTTCCTGATGAGTTGAAGACACAATGATAAAAAGTTTGTACTGAAACATATAAAGATGGCTCATTAAAACAAAAACAAGGAAAAAATAATCTAACCTTGTAAAAAGCACAACACACAGATACAAATAATTTCTCTATCAAAATGTCGCATACTTTCAAATGATCGGTTTATGTCTATGCCATTCTGTATCACTGTAAGTTACCTCAGGTTTCTGTGAGTTAGTGGCGTTACAAAACAGTCAAAGTGCAGTCGTATTTACCAAGAACATATCCTACCATTTAAGGTGAATTCAAGGCGATATCTGGGTTTTCGTCATGACAAAAATTTATGGAATAAATCTTACTATATGAAAACATTTTAATACATTTACATATTTGTTTGTTTGCAATTCATCGACCTAGCATAACTACCCAAACATAAATCTGAAAAGGTTCCAAACCAATAAGCCAGGGACACTTTATCATAAGTGTTTTTCAACAATAATCACATTATCTGTCTCATTATCATGGTGTACAAAGTCTGAATGATTGCACCTATAGCTTCAATTACGACCTTAACAATGGCATAACCTTGTCTTCTTAGTATTCTTAATATCGTTCTTTTATTAGTATTATATTTCGTAATAACCTCACTTATAGAGTCATTTAGCAAACAAAAATAAACATGGGAGAACCCTTGTATCTACACCGAAGCATCGCCGACATACACGAGATCGAGGGAGTGAAAATCTGCATAAAGACACTTGTGAGTGGCAGCATCCCTGAAACGCTTGTGAGCAGCAGCATCCCTGAAACGCTTGTGAGTGGCAGCATCCCTGAAACGCTTGTGAGCAGCAGCATCCCTGAAAAGTGTCTGGATGTCTTTAACAGCCGTTACCTTCTCATTTTATTTCCATTTCTGGGTTCAACGGTTTAACATTAATTATATATTATAACAATCTTCCATTTTTCACTATGCCAGTTTTAGTTTCTATATCAAAAGAAATGTATAAATCACCACCAAATGCTCTATGTCCTCACATACTAAATAGCAGGATGAATGGGAATACCGAAATTTAATTTGTAGTGTTTTTGACCACGATAAAATTGCATCTAAGCAAACGCTTGTTCTTACTACAAACGTATGTGAATAACGCACTTAGACAGCAATGACAGTGTGACAGCAAAGTATGCAAAATAAACTATATTCAAATATATGTTGCTAAGGGAATAAATTAAACTTATAATTTGAAATGAAACAAGAAGTACGATAAAAGCATATCAGAAACGAATCAGTAATAGTGAATAATTCAAAACAAAACGAGAATTTCAAAACAATGAATCAGACCCCTGCCTTCTCCAACGATATCAACTTACCTTTGTCTTATGAAGTCAATGGAGCAATGTTCGGCGGCACAATTCAGAATAGTACACTGCCGTCAGAAAATCTACCAACTATGCCTTAATAGAGCTACCGAGTGACAACACTCCGGCTATTCTGAATCTTTCACAGACGATCTGGTTTAAACTTATTCCAATTTGCGAGATTTATACGCTAGAGAATAATATACAGTGTTTCGACTGATTGTAAATAGGCTGATATGGTATGGAAATGATATTTAATTCCCTGAAGTTTCGTGGAGGATATTGTATACAACAAAGTAATGAATATTCTAGTCAAAGTATGCGAAGTCGTGTAAGGCTGATTATCCTTGGGATAGCACGTGAGTGGGAAATCACCGCATCGATATATTAAAAATTCATATCATTACTTAATGACGAAATAAATTGATTTTGAACTAACGGAAAGTTAATGACTGTGTTGATAATCAACTCTCAGCGCTTGTATTAAATATGGATACAATTTTTGATTCAACTCATTTCGGTCGATCACCTGAACTCGATGCTAATTTCATACCGTAAAAAAAAGAGTTACATCAAGTATTTAACTGATAACATGTTTATACTCTATATTGTCTAGTAACATGTTTGTACTCTATATTGTCTAGTAACATGTTTGTACTCTATATTGTCTATGTTTGTACTCTATATTGTCTATGTTTGTACTCTATATTGTCTAGTTACATGTTTGTACTCTATATTGTCTATGTTTGTACTCTATATTGTCTAGTAACATGTTTGTACTCTATATTGTCTATGTTTGTACTCTATATTGTCTAGTAACATGTTTGTACTCTATATTGTCTAGTAACATGTTTGTACTCTATATTGTCTAGTAACATGTTTGTACTCTATATTGTCTAGTTACATGTTTGTACTCTATATTGTCTGTGTTTGTACTCTATATTGTCTAGTTACATGTTTGTACTCTATATTGTCTAGTAACATGTTTGTACTCTATATTGTCTAGTTACATGTTTATACTCTATGTTGTCTAGCTACATTAAACTAACCTGCTTTAAGTAATTACGGCCAATCACCTGAGCATACATCGTAAACCATGTAAAGACAGCCATATATTGTAATAACCTGGTTTCAGGTTTTATTGTATGATGTACAACTTCATATGCCAAACGTGTATTTCCTAGTTACTGACATCTACATACGTAATTAGAGGTATACAACCTACATCAGTTAATCACATGTACTTGTTCATAGTGTAATTCTAATTACTAACATATCATTGATGTTCCTCTATAATAGTGATGTACCCAGATACTTTTATTTGTATCATACTGCTTCCCGGTTGTTCGTATAGGTCGACCTCGTTCTCGTTGTTCTGCAGTTCGTGTTATTAAATTTCATGATACATATTATATCATTTGTTACCTTGATTTAGTGTTAAATTATTAGGGACGGTACTTGTACCGTGTGGAAATCGGGCATTATTAATATTAAAATTTGTATGTAGAAACAATTATGAGTGATGCACGATGTATGTTTATAAATTACAGGTACATAATGTACAACATCTTGTTAAACGATCAAAAAAAGATAAAAGATAAAAAGTTCAACCTGTCACTGGTCAAACATATATTATTTTATAACACTAATAAATTTGTAAGACATGATTAAGGAAAATGTGATAACTATTTATGAGTCATAAATATGTCACAGGGCGTTTTTTAATTTCACAAACAATGAAATGCGAACATATAACAACATCGAAAGCAAAACAAAACAGAATCACTCTGTAGTACATATATATGACGTCCGAAATGACGGGGGAAATGTCATGAAATTTCCTACTAAATCAATTATGCCAGATTATTTTTATCAATATAATCCCCCCCCCCCCCCCCCTCATTATTATTATTGTCTAAGTAAAGTATTTCCCTCTCGATATCATCGGGATCGGGCACAAGTTAAACAACTTTTATAATTCTCCCTACAACAATATATCTATGTACATATTAACAAATGTAAAGATGACATATCAACAACATCAAAACATATCTATTGTTTGTTAGGAGGGGTTGTAAAAGGTCACGATAGGCATGATAGAAAATGACAGATTGCCGGCAATGAAATATATGATCACAAGGAACATGTCACGCGGTAAAAAAAATGCAAAAATGGTTCTTAAAAATTTGAAAAATCCACCACATCCAAGGAAAATGTCACAATGGTTCTTTAGAACAGAAAAATACATCAACTTCCAAAGAAAGTGTCACCATGGTTCTTTAGAACAGAAAAAAATGCCACCACATCCAAAGAAAGTGTCACAATGATTTTCCTTTTTAGAAGTCTTTGTGTAATTATATTTTCTCTCTAATTTGTTTGAAATTGGTTAGTTTTGGATGAGGTCGACATGTTAGTATTGTGTTTTAACACAGTTGTCACTCCAATGAATCCAAACGAAAACGTCAAAATGTCTCACTAAAGACGAATATGTCTCCACGTCCCTGGAAAATGTTACAATGATTCCGAAATACTGAAGGTAGGTAACATCATCCAAAGAGGAAACAACAATTTGTGTATAAAACACGTGATATGTCAAGAGGCAATAGAAAATGCTATGAATGATATAAGCCATGGCCTCTCTTCTTAATTTATTTAAAGAGACAAATTCCTATTTCCCATACTCAACACCTTAAATATTTACGAGGAATGAGAATAGGTCAGGATACCAAAAATTGACGTCATGACACAAAAGATGACGAGGAAGAAAAAGAACAAGGGGACATCAAGTCTCGGCAGCACATCCTTTAAACAGACACAGTTGTCGTTCCTTTTTGGTTGTTCTATTTCCTCGTCATTTGAAGTGGTCATGTCTTTTCCTTTCATATCAGCTGAATCGTTGGTCAAAGGCTTGACTTGAGATAAGTTTCCACGTGCACAGCATGCGAAGAGTTTAATCATGGATGCCGGTGCCGGAGTTTCGCCATACTCGATGAACAGGCGAACTTGTATGACTGTTATCAGGACGATAACCACACTGAACACCAGCAGCGCGAGTAGATACATGGTCAGGTAGGACACGTTTTTGGAGTTATGTGGCAGTTCTGCAGTGATTAATCCCAGAAATACAGCATATGATAGATACACTGTCACACAGAACGAGTTCCTCTCTCCTGAAGACAGGGGAATCAGGAACACACAGATATTTAAAATCGCCAGTAGAATAATAGGAACTAGGATTGTCAAAACAATGAATTTCGGTCTCCGCTGTAGTCGCATAAAATGATCTACAAATGCCGTCAAATTCTTGGAATGGAGTCCGGTATCTTCAATCTCAGCTTTGATCACTGTCCATTCGGCGTTGTCTTGTAATTCCGAGAGATCCATCGAATCTTCCAGTGACAAGAGGGCCACTTCAGAAATGGTATCATCCCACATTTCAAACGTGAAATGACAATCCTGAGTATCAAAAGGATAAAATGTTATATCAACTTCACAAGAAACGACAAAACTGTCTCCTGGTATCCATATCACTGTCCCATCGAAGTGTACGAGTGCAGATCCACCTAAATCAGGCAGTAGAGTTAATTTCCCAATTGTGTTCTTAAGAGCAATATTAGGGAGCCATATTGAATTTCTATCAACCTTAACATATGAAATATTACCATAGTCATCCGGATCCCAGAATAAAGTTTCATCTATCCAGGACGTATAAATCCAACCAGTTACTGCAAGTTTCTGGGACTTTTCGTCAAATTCGTTTAATGACGATATTACGAAATCCACTACTACATAAAGGGAATGACTCTGATTCCAAACAGGTCGGATGCGTTTGTCGTAGCCGTCGTATATGTAGGCGTAAATATTTTTCACATCGTCTGTTGTCGCCGATGATGTGCTTTGGTGATGAGTGCCACTTGTCATCAACACTAAGAAGAACCAGGTCAGCATAATCTTCGCCAACATATTACACCCCATCTAAACAGGACAATGGAATACTTCTGTTTCTTACTTTGTGATTTCTGTAATTTATTCGAAATTCATATGATAAGGATATGCTGACGGACAATAATAGGTATACTGTTTGGTTGGTAATATTCGCGGGAAATTTATTTTCGTTATCTTCGCGGTCAAAAGAGATTAAATTATATGCCCTGCAAACAGTGAATGGAAATATCAAGAACATGTCCGTTATTCTTGTAAATATGGTCAGCATTAGACTAATGCGAAATCTCATACCCAATGTATTAGCCAATACGGGACAACTTCGAAACATAACGCAGACGATAGCAAACATCAGTATATGTCCATGATTTTATATATAAACACAAAAAAGTACCAACGTGATGATCGATTTCCATATGTTTAACTTTATTGAAAATTATTCTGACAATGAAATGATTGGAAATCAATGTGTAATTACATGCAATCATTTTCCCAGTTTCATTCGAGGCGTGATAAAAAGAAATTAACTATTGTTTTAAACTTCTTTAAGGATACATTTGATATTGTAAACAGGAGCGAAGTACAAAATAGATATCTAGATGTACATTCTTTAACTTAAAGAAATAATTCATTGAGCAACTTCATTTTCAAATATTGAAATTATTTAGACTAAAGAAATCGCATCTTTTTACCTTTCTACCTGACTTCGGAGAGCAATCACTTTTCTTTCACGGCAGGAAATATTACCATAGCAACTGTCAAAATAACAAGAACAGCAACAAAGAATGGAGTTACATAGATCTCAAAGATTAAACATTGTATCCTTCCAAATTGTTCGACTTACGTTCGATAGAATCATCGAAATGTATATAAAACACGTGCCTGATTTTATATATTTTATGTATACATATAATTTGATCAAAATCAAATTATATCTTAATCTCAACATCAATATCAACATATATATAATATGTACTTTATTTGTTCCGTCGATGACAAAGTGTAACTTACCGAACAATTTGAAACTAATTTCCCGAAATAGTATAGAAATTAGACAAAATAAATAGCAGCGATCTCCGATGGCATCCTGAGTTACATTTACAGCCCGTTAGAATCCATACCGATGTTTCATTAGTGGTATCTAATACGCAGTTAGATGAAAATCATATAGAATTCAAGTCACAATGTTCGGCACAGATCAGGTCATATGTTCGGCACAGTTCAGGTCACATGTTCGTTTTTCACAGTTCGGGTCACTTGTTCGGCACACTTTAGACAGCGTGGTAGCGAAGGACAATATCACATATACGGACTGGCGATCTTAGTTTAACTTATATGTGAGCTACATCTAAAGAGATGGAAATACCTAGGAGAATATAAAATGATTCGGCGGCAGGAAAATGATATGAGCGAATGAGTAATATCATCACCCTGAAGGAAATCGAATCGATTGGAAATTTCATGTCATTAATAAGTAATGAAATCGACGTGTTTCAATGGGTACGATAAAGGAATATAATGATGGTGAACTTTGTACACTTTGTACTTGTATAGTAAATATCAATGTCTACAAAATTCTACTTCTATCATATACAGATACCAATCAAGTTATTACTAATTAACGATGTATGAGACATACCTATTAGTACATCTGTATTTCACCTCATTAAAGGTACATTATCCACTAACTATGGTACATTCATCATAGCACATCAATTAATCACATCTACATCTCTCATTTAAATAAAGTGATGTGTCTGATCAGAAGTGCAGGTTGTACAGTTCACCATCTAACGCTCTTAATAACATAATTTAAAATAATTCAAATAATTGCAGACACGACTAATGTGTAGAGGTTTTACAACGAGTGGCAATTGATTGTCATCGTTATCTAACTCGAGTTAGTAAATTTTCAAATTTAGAAAAGCCTCGTGAAAATTAACTAACGAGAGTTTGATAACGATGTAATCAACTGACACGAGATGCAGAACTTCTTTCTACCATAATCTTTTAACGTAAATATATATATTGTGTACAACATTATTTCGCCCCAATTGACACTTTCGCGAAAGAATGCATCGTAGATTGTCTTATTGGATCATTAATATGCAAAAAGAGACAAAATCGCTATTTTTGAAGCAAAGTACTTATTTATTAAGTAATCTTGTTTGGAAACATCCCGTTACATCAGTTCATTGAAACACGTTACAAAATTACACAAATTGTTAATCTTTTTTAAAAAAAAATAATTTGAAACTAGATTTTATTGCGGATAAGAGTTGTGCTTCTTCGCGGGAAAATGTGAATACAGATACGATTAATACCCCAGTCACATATGGCTTACAGCGAGTTTACGGCGCCTTTGCGGCGACTGTAAGCCCCAAATCGTACGATGGCCGTGCGGTCACCTTACGGTGCTCTCACAATTTTTGCTCGCCGCAAACTCGCAGTGACGCTTGCAATTTTTTAACTCCGCGTTAATTTTTTTCCAAAAACCGTAACGCTGCAGAGACGCCGTAGACGGCAAATACGTCGCATCTACACCGTACGGTGTCCGTAAGTTGACTTACGGTTTTTCACCCGTCCCTGGTTCTTAAAAATCGTATTGCCACCGTGTATAAAAAAATCGTACGGCTACCTTACGGTGATCTTGCGGTATCCGTAAGGTGGCCGTACGAGGCAGAACCACCGGCAACGGGAAACTGTTATTGCAGCTATAGTTGTACTGGAAGACCGGCGGGATCGTAGGGAAAAGAAAAGACGAACGGTTTGGGTAAAACCCTGGTCGCTGCGGCGTGCCACCCTAGGACACTATGACACGTTAATGCAGGAGCTCATGAGGGAATCTCGGGGAGATTACAGGTTCTACCTACGCATTGAGCCCGACATGTTTTGCGAGATGTTGGAACGGCTACTTCCTAGAATCACGAAGAGGAAGGACTGCAGGCCTGGCTTGCCCCCTGGATTAAGATTGGCCATTACATTGCGTTTTCTGGTAACGGGCGACTCATACCATAGTCTGTCGCTCAGTTTTCGAGTAACACCATCTCTATCCTTATGTCCCAAGTGTGTAGTGCCAATGTGGCCGACTATAAGGATGAGGTGCTGGTTCTCCTTTCGACTCCGAACGCCTGGCGAGAGTTGGCAAGTGGCTTCGCCAGAAGATGGAACTACCCTCATTGCTAGGGAGCCATAGACGGCAAACACATCGCCATCAAGAAGCCACGACATTCCGGTACCGCATATTATAACTACACAAGGTTTGTGTCCATTGTGTTCTTGGGGCTTGTCGATGCAGACTATAAGTTTTTGTGGGTGAACGTTGGTGCGAGAGGATCTGTCTGATGCTGGTGTCTTCAACGAGTCAACTCTGGGGTCTGCTCTTCGACAGAAAACCCTTGGCCTTCCACCCCCAGAGCGTCTACCGAATGATAACGAAGATACAACATATTTTAATGTGGGAGATGACGCCTTTAATCTGCGTACATAACTCATGAAGCCACACTCCCACCGTTACCTTGAGCACGACGAAAGAGTCTTCAATTATCGTGGCAGAAGGGTGGTCGAAAACGCATTTGGGATACTCGACATGCGCTTCCGATGCCTGTTGACGCATTTGCAGACCACACTCGAGAACGCTGTTTTGATTACGAAAGCATGCGTCATTCTACATCAGATAATGCGACTGAGATTCCCTAACGTCCAGAATGCAGACCTAGACCAAGAAGTAATCGACGGCCAGATAACATCAGGTGCATGGAGAGACCAAGCGATAATGCAAGAAATGGAAATCGTAAGACGTGCTCCCCGTGAAACACGAGAAGGAAAGCTCCTCCGTACAGCACTCAAGTACTACTACTGCAGCAAATCTGGAAGTGTACCATGGCAGGAGGCGGCCCTAAACTACAACTACTAGGACTGTGCTTTGTTAATGCTACTGCGTCACGCAGGAGGCGGCCCTTAACTACAACTACCAGGACTGTGCTTTATTAATGCTACTGCGTCACGCAGGAGGCGGCCCTTAACTACAACTACCAGGACTGTGCTTTATTAATGCTACTGCGTCACGCAGGAGGCGGCCCTTAACTACAACTACTAGGACTGTGCTTTGTGAATGCTACTGCGTCACGCAGGAGGCGGCCCTAAACTACAACTACTAGGACTGTGCTTTGTTAATGCTACTGCGTCACGCAGGAGGCGGCCCTTAACTACAACTACTAGGACTGTGCTTTGTTAATGCTACTGCGTCACGCAGGAGGCGGCCCTTAACTACAGCTACTAGGACTGTGCTTTGTGAATGCTACTGCGTCACGCAGGAGGCGGCCCTAAACTACAACTACTAGGACTGTGCTTTGTTAATGCTACTGCGTCACGCAGGAGGCGGCCCTTAACTACAACTACTAGGACTGTGCTTTGTGAATGCTACTGCGTCACGCAGGAGGCGGCCCTTAACTACAATTACTAGGACTGTGCTTTGTTAATGCTACTGCGTCACGCAGGAGGTGGCCCTTACCTACAACTACTAAGACTGTGCTTTTCTAATGCTACTGCGTCACGCAGGATGTCATGCAAATAAAAAACTAAAGTGGTGTGATTTTATTTGTTTCTCTTATCTAATGTCGGTATTGACAGTGTCTGCAAGATTATAAACACAGTATCAAGATGCCAAGCACTTTTTATGAAGATTATAAACACATTATGAATTCGACAAGCATTATTGCATGAATTTGGAATTTAAATTGGTAAAAATTATCAAAAGGAACATAGTTTTTTGTCACCGTATAGTCATTTCGGTCTGTAAGACTATCTTCAGTTTACTCCGATTTAACAATATAAACTCCGATAACCACAATGACCAATAATCTGAAAACCCTTCTTAATCATTGAATTATCACGAAACCTTGCACAACATCTATAATTGTCCATTCCTATCATCCAGATTTACAAAGAAAAGAAAGAACACAGAAGACAAAACAAAAACTTGCTTTTATTTAAGCAAGGCATTGCTACCCTGGGCACCCTAGTTACAAACTATTTGACTTTTAACAAATTATTGCCTCCCTGGGCAAAGGTAATCGTACATGACACCATCTTCCTGGAAACTCTGATTACAAATATTATACATTTACAAAGTATTGTCTTCTTCGACACGATGTTTATCGGCACACTTGTTCTTTTACAAGTTATTTCTGACTATTATTACGTCCCCTATGATGTTAAATTAGTAGGGCCAAAGGCGGCACGACGATCGTTATGGGTCTGCATGCACGTAAATCCCTGTTGTCCTGAAGGTTGGTACTCGCATGAAGACTGCATCTGTGGCACCGGGTTCTGTCTGTATTGTGGACGCATGAAAGATCTACTGTCAGTAAACTGCTGCATAGGGTTTTGAGTAACAAATGCGTTGCCATGAATTGGACGCTGGGAGTCGATCGGCGCAGCTACCTCCGGGTGAACCTGATCGAGGTAGCGTAGGCCTAGTCCAAAGTCTCCCCTCTGAAAACGTCTGAAGCGGCTAGCGGAGACCTGATGTGCCACACTGTTCAACAACGATGCGAGTGTGTCTCTTTCTGAAGGCTGCTGGTACACTTTGTCAATCTGAAAACAATAAAACACAACATACATTGCTTAAGAGTGTTCTATCATTAAATATTACTGAATGCGAGGAAAATTTAATAGGGGTAATAAAAAAAGGAAATGAATGAATATTTATATAATGTAATAACGATAATTGTATTATTAATATGTTACCTTGGACACAAGGTCCTCCTCCTTCTGACGGTTTTCTGTAATCATCTGGGACATGACATCACCCAAATCCGTCTTCTCTGTCTTTTTTCCCATCCGCTTTCTTTTGCTAGATATGGTGCTAGTTGTGGAGCCTCCTGAGCTAGGATTCTGACTAGGCCTATTTGGCTAATTGGAAAGTACAATTGATATGGCCCTCTGTTGGTCAGTATTCAGGTACTGCAACTGTTTATACTCTGGACGTTTCTGTGGCCAGATATCTGTAAGAGGACAGTTGTTCATTTAACATGTGTTCACTAAAAAAACAGCTGATTTTGAGTGTATGTTTATTATGAAATAAATTAAAAATTCTTCGACATGGATTTATAGAGTTTGAGATTATAATTTTCGTTATGAAGGTAAGTGTTTCTATTTTCATTATTTGTAACAACCTACACTTGCCTACCTCCATAATATGGGTAGGTGGTAATCCAGAGTCATTCAACTGTATCTGGATTCCGAAACGACCTTCCCCTACTTCAACCTAATATCAAAGGTTGGGAAACCAAAATTACTGTATTTACCAATTACTATCCCCTTTCTCCCTCCACACAGTTTTACCGCATCATCGATCTTGACCGTCGGCAAGAGTGACAGATCGTCACTGTCAGCCATGTTGATGATGGACAGCAGACGATGAAAACAATCGCACGTGGCGAAAGTAGCTCGTGGTCACAGATCATGGTTTGGTCAAATGTCAATTCCTCGCCAATAGATTTGACTGTCACCAATAGTACACGTGTGTATTATGGGTATGAATAAACAACGGATATGGTGTTTAAGGAATAGTCTGGGCGTGAGATAACATACGTATGGTAGAAATCATTATATCACACCATACATTATCTCTGGGATGATATGACCGAGTAAAACATTCGGGATTCGGTAATCAGCCTTATATTACCACCGCAATTAATTTGATCTGCAGCAAAATCACTTAATCTAAATGCAACATGGATTAAATATAATATGGTAGAATGAAGCAAAAGATGTTCACTCTTTCGGAACACCTGATCTTATTCTCCCTGTACTTCTTCAGGGATCTCGGTGTAAATCTTGCTTTTGTTCTTATTTCGCCATAGTTTTATGAAACATGATAATGAAGCACTTTATACATAGCGTTGCCTGAACGCTGACGTTCGTCTATGAGATATTTCAAAATGATAGGATAATTCAAGCAGAGGGGAAATCTGTACCCAACCAACGAACACTTCCTAATAAGCATTACAATGTCAATCGATGCGTGATTCGCAGTATTATTATTAAGCATTCTTCCATACCCTATCAGATATAGAACGTCAGTAAAGATGCGCTTATTCAGTAAACTTCCATACTTTTAAAATACTAATAAAATACATAACAAATGTTCAAAAGAGACAAATTAACGTCACATAGGATAAGATATTTGACAGTAAAACAATGGACTAAACTGAAGCACCTCTAGGATCGTCAGCGATGCTATGAATCTATTGTTGAAACTGGCTGTTTAACTGAGGGAAATAAAAACTGGGCGAATTCTGCAGATTATCATATAAAAACAACTCATTTATACTATAAATACAGCTTACAAGGATGACGCATAATCATAGAATCTCTATCATGGGCTTATTATCGCATTCAAAGAAAAAGTGTCCCAACGGCTCTTTTACTTCTTCGGGAGTCTGCGTGTAAATGTTTCTTTTTGCTCTATTTTCATATTGTTGTTATTGTTATTGTGACATACGGGACAGGACCTACTCAGAGATGAAAATTTCCTTAATAACGTACCTTAGTGGTATTTTTGACCGATCAAGATCCCTACGAATGCTGGATAAAAATAGAGACTTTTATCAATGTTTGAAGGAAGGAAATGTATAAGTTCGAGGAGAAATCTTTAACATTTAAATGACAAGAATTCTACATTTTGGAAAATTGATTATTGATTAAATAAGTAGAACTTATTTGGTAATAACATGGTTATTCTACATCGATGGTCATTTGGGGATTGTTAGAATTCACGCTTTCATCTTTTTTGTGTTTTTAATCATTATTTTTCTGACATCTTCTTCAGATTGGAAATGTCAATATAATGGAAGTTCACCTTCATCTTCTAACACAACCAGTAGAACGGTCACCTTCATCAGACAACACAACCAGTAGAAGATTCGGTGATTGCACGGTCACCTTCATCAGACAACACAACCAGAAGAAGATTCGATGATTGCACGGTCACCTTCATCAGACAACACAACCAGTAGAAGATTCGATGATTGCACGGTCACCTTCATCAGACAACACAACCAGAAGATTCGATGATTGCACGGTCACCTTCATCAGACAACACAACCAGTAGAAGATCGATGATTGCACGGACAACACACCTTCATCTTCTCAGACAACACAACCAGTAGAAGATTCGATGATTGCACGGTCACCTTCATCAGACAACACAACCAGTGGAAGATTCGATGATTGCACGGTCACCTTCATCAGACAACACAACCAGAAGAAGATTCGATGATTGCACGGTCACCTTCATCAGACAAATGACCAATATGAGGTTTGCTAGTACCTGCATACGTGGTGTACGTCAGTACTAGCACGTTCCACACTGGTCATTTGTCTGATGACGTCAGTGAAAGTAGGACCACGCTGGTCATTTGTCTGATGACGTCAGTGTTAGTAGGACCACACTGGTCATTTGTGTGATGAGGTCAGTGTGAGTAGGACCATACTGGTCATTTGTCTGATGACGTCAGTGTTAGTAGGACCACACTGGTCATTTGTCTGACGAAGGCGACCGTGTAACAACTGAAACTTCATACTCAAATCTTCTATTGGTTGTGTAATAAGAGCTCGAATTCTTTCATTCTTTATTCCTGTGATGTCTAAACCAGAAAACCGTGGATAGATTGAAAAAAAAACTGACTTGATATATTTTAAACATCAGCTTCGCAAATAGTAAGAAATGTCTCATAAAAGATATCGGATTTAGAAAAAAGTCATTTTCACCAAACACTTTTCGATTTCCTTAATATTTTTCTACCTATTTTGGCAATCGGAGTCAAGATCGAGATGAAAAGGGGAAAAAAGGCCAGCGCTGTTTAGATATGTTTGAATTAGTTTCAGAAAAGAAATCTTACGACTCGGCACGACACGGTACCACCCGTTACCCCGTTTCTCCCTCCTACACTTACATCGCTCTGACGCCCACTTCATGATAACAGTCAACCTTACCCTTTAAAGCATAATAACTTCTCTGCCTTTCGGATCACTCATTTTTTTCAACTTGTCATTTAATAAAAACATACGTCATACAAGGGGGAAATCTTTTAAAAACAATTCGTTTCTGAACAAAACAGGGGTCGATTAGTTAATTTTGAAAACAAAGAAATTTATATGTAAATTCCTGACCATAAAGGAAATTGTTGTAAAGACAATTACAAGAGCTGGCGGCACCCAGCACGGACAGTCGCTTGTGCGTTTGACAGACGGCCGTAGAAGTGTAACAAACCCCAGCGGGTGATCCTAGGCATATTCGTATGACGGCAATATGGTGAATGAATCGTCATGTGTTTCAAACATATTCAATAACACAGTGAAACAAGCCATTGAGTGCCATTATCACTTGTCCTGCTAACTAATAGAAATACGAACGGTTTCTGCATCTCAACAAGTTAGTATTAGGCCTGCTTGTCACAGTGGTGAATACGTGAAGAAAAACCGTTGGCTCAATGCATATATTACGGGGGATAGTTGGTGACCTGTCTCCAACAGACACAGCCAGGGTATATATACATCCCCTGGGCCCAAGGTACCGCAACAAGTAAGAGAGCTCGGACATCGGACGTAGTAAACAAATTGCACTGGACATTACACCAACATACAGGTAAGAATGTTTCATTTTCTTTCTAAAAAAAATATCCTCTTTTTTATCAGCATGTCTACTTTTCAGTTGGGTTGACTTCCAAGTGTGATAAGATGTTATTAAAAAAAACTCACTACCATAACAACATTACTCTAGATCTTAAACATTATTTTTGTGACTTAAAGAAACTAACTTTACCAAGAACATTTTTATTCTTTTATGTTTTAATGTTAACTCTAAAAAAGTTTGCCTGTTAAAAAAATATGACACAAATTGCTAAATTAAATTATCAAAGACTCATCGGAAGTATAAATGGTTTTCATTGTCCGTCCTTGCTCGTTTCAGAATATTTGTATTAAGAACACAAGAAATTTCGTTGACGCTTGATTTCGTTGCTAAATATAGCTAAGTAAATCTATAGATACTTATCCTAACTGTTCGTGGACATATAAATTCGTAGATTATGAGGACTCACCAATCAACTAAAATAAAGCCCACGACAATGGATTAGTTTACAGTATACTAGTTACAAGTAAATATTCGTGTTCTATCGTGATACTACAAATGCAGCATAAAACATTACTGGGTAAGGTATATGAGTTTTATAGTTAAGAAAAGGATCACAGTTGGTATTTAAAATATAGTTTACTGGAAGTATTACAGAAATTAATGGGCATCTTCTTACTTCAGAATTATGCAATCGTTAAAACAGTCAACATCAGATGAAACATTTAAAGATGTCATCCTTTGAAAATTTCAATGAGATATTTTTTTCTAAACAAAGGTTTAGGTAGTTGATACTGAAAATTTGATATTATCAATGCATCGTAATCTAAGGTGTTATTTAGAGAATAAATTTCAACGTTTTAAAGCGAACTAAAAGCTTCACAAAGAATGTAAGGCATAACACAAACATTGAATGAATAAAGTAATATTTTAAACATATAACTTTTAGTTGAAAATAATAGTTTTTAGATTATGAAATGTATTCCGGTAGTCTTTTAACCACCTATGGATAAAGGTTATTGGTTATCGAATTTCTTCGCTATTGAGCCTGGAAATAGCAATGTATTTTCTGCAACCGAATAAATATGATTATATCCCTAACTTTGGTCACTTTGCTGACCTCTTACCGTGTTGGGATCAACACATCGAAAATAGCCGCCATTGTTTCTGGTAACGTTCGTTCTACTGTGTGAATGGCGGCACCGGCGTCTGTACTAAAGCCATTCACAGCCATTGAACTACCTAACGATATTGACCGGTAATTAGTGATCTACAACACATGTAATTCTGATCTGCTGATTCCATAGAAGAAAACAAACAAACTGAAGAAGTCACACTGTCATTTACCTGTCGTGGCCGTCTAGGTCCACCATCTTGACAAGACCATTCCTTTACAGGTCCACGACAGTGAGTCACGTGATAATGGAACTCCCTGACGTCATATTAGCGTGGTTAGTACTGGAGTTTTACTAGATTTGATAAATCCGTGATATTATTTTCAAAGGGATTAGTTTGTGTTGCTCTATTATTTCCTAGATAATTCTTCCGCTTTACAGTACGTACTTAGTAGCGGCAAAATGTATGATGTTATTTCAGGTTTCAGATGTTGATGTGTTCGCGACTTACTCCAACCAATACGGATGTAATACACTGAATGGTGTAATACTGGCAACTTGTCATAAGACTTTATATCGAATAGATCTGATAATCACGCTATTGCATGAAGTTTCGTTCCAACATCAGATTTCATTACATTTTTTGAACACACAATATTAATTAACTAAATGAGCATCATTTGTAATGTCTGAAAAACAGAAGTAAAGACGTTTCCTTTTTTATTCATTTACACTGAAATCGCCATGTAACATAGTTATACACATCAAAATGCCAATTTGAATAACAAATATTTAAAATGTTCTACAAACGGAGATCCGTGGCCTCTCTAGGATATCGATCTAACAATATTGGTTATAATTTTTAATTTCGGTGACAAAAATTAAACTCATACTGCAAACAGGCGATGTTTTGAAAATGAATAAAGGTTGATTTTTCCTTTGGGACACCGATTTCAAAATGTTGTATAATGTATTTTATTCCTTACAGAAATATGCAAAAGTTCGTCCTTACAACAGTTGTGATAGTATGTGCCCTACTCGTAAGTCAAGTGACGTGTCAAGAGGCGATGTTAGCGCCCCCTGAGAGGCCCCACAGCTTCAGGACTCCAGACCAGCTCAGGAGTTACCTCCGGGCCCTTAACGAATATTATTCTATCGTCGGCCGACCACGGTAGGTGAAAAATTCGACGATTCGCGATCATAATAAAGATTGTATCAAAATACATGTACCGTACTTGACGATTTTTTCAATAACTTTGCATTTTCCTCAGTCGCCTTTCAGGCTTCACAATTTAGGCTTTTAGTATCACTGACGAGTCCTAGAAGGACGAAACAGCTGTGTGATGTAACATCACTGACGAGTCCTAGAAGGACGAAACAGCTGTGTGATGTAGCATCACTGACGAGTCCTAGAAGGACGAAACAGCTGTGTGATGTAGCATCACTGACGAGTCCTAGAAGGACGAAACAGCTGTGTGATGTAACATCACTGACGAGTCCTAGAAGGACGAAACAGCTGTGTGATGTAGCATCACTGACGAGTCCTAGAAGGACGAAATAGCTGTGTGATGTAACATCACTGACGAGTCCTAGAAGGACGAAACAGCTGTGTGATGTAGCATCACTGACGAGTCCTAGAAGGACGAAATAGCTGTGTGATGTAGCATCACTGACGAGTCCTAGAAGGACGAAATAGCTGTGTGATGTAGCATCACTGACGAGTCCTTGAAGGACGAAACAGATGTGTGATGTAGCATCACTGGCGAGTCCTAGAAGGACGAAACAGCTATATGATGTATTTTAGCATAACTGACGAATTCTAGAAAGACGAAACAGCTGTATGATGTAGTTGAATTCATTCCTTGGCTCTACTTTAATTATTATTTAATTACAGTAAAAACAGAATTATGAAGAAAACAACCATTAGTTTCATAAAACCTCTGAGAATATACCTTAAGCATCAAGCTTTTGATAAATCCATGAAATTTTGAACTACCGAGAAAGCTCCGACTTGGTAGTAATTCTTGGAGCGGCTCTGTAATGTTCTTTGATTAGATTTCTTATCAATCTTTACCATCGTTTAAATTGTCAACAGTAGCCATTGTTGTTTTATCAAATGGGAAATTTAATCAAATTCATATTCTAAGTTTTTAATAATTGACACAATCCCACTCGGTTTAATTGTGTCATTTCCAAATCTCCGGGGTTTAACTGAAAAGTCTTCGTTCTGATAACTAAACTGTAATGTTATATGAAACAGACGAGAGTACCCGGAAATTAAAAATAGAGCGTATATCTATAACACTATGTACAGGCATTGGCGTTGGACTGGCATTTCATGTTCATGTACTTTGTAACACTTCAGATTTGGAAGAAGCGTCAACAAGCGATCTCTTGAAAGCAGTCTGTTTAACACCGAGGACCTCAGCCCTGAAGGTGAGTCAGTGCCATAAGTTAACTAGAATTAGTGTATTCAGAGGATATCGTGGAAATAATCTACATTCCACGTTTGTTTAAACTAAAATGAAAACTGAAAGTGACTGACATTCCTTATCGTCTCTCAGGACAATGTTACTGTTAGCATAGATGTAAAACCAAATCCCAAACCTTGCTAACGAATGCCTATGTGCATTATCAATCATTATAACCGTTGTCATAGAAACACCTCACATATATGTTTCAAGCTGGTTGTGATGTAAGAACATCTATTGGATATACATTACCAACCCAAAGAAAATGATCCTGTAAATCCTTATAACAAATTATCGATTAGAACAGGTGATGTTAGTATATTCAAGTGTATCTACCTATCTTAAAAATATATCGTACTCATCAGGGATAACATACCATTTCATTGCGTATTGTTATGTTTAGCTCCACACAATGGAGTAAGCTTTTTTTTTTAATGTCACAGGGATAGACCCTCATTTAGTAATACGCCATAACATACCTGATTCAAATGTCTCTTTGGATAATAATACAATTATGAAATCACGTGGCTTAAAATCTCCGGTTTAATTCGAAAAAATAACTCTGTTGGGTGTTAACTCTTTCGTGGATGTCATTCTCATTATATAGAGAATAAAAACACACATACTTAAAAGGGGGAGAATTTATTTATTTTTTTTTTTTTTTTTTTTTTAAATTTAATAAAATGACGACAAACGAATAATTAACGCGATAAAAATTATAATTATAACTTCATAATGACAAATCACATCTTGTGGGATTCCTGGGCCTCTGTCTCTGGTCTCTGAACAATATCTGCGTTGAAAGTTGTCGCTTCGGTTGTTCGTATAAATCATAGAAATCGTTTAAGTTCATTATAATCATACCGAGTCAATCACTAAATATTTACACCAAAATAGTAAGCACAGTAAAAATGGGAATCAAGTTGATTTTTACCAATAAAAGCAATCAGCAGTGTTTATTTCACTTAAAACAAACTTTGTATTTAACAGATTGAAATACATTTCGACACCCTTTAGGTTTTAATGTATACTGAAACGTTTACCATTGGTGTTTTATTTACACGTTTTGTTTTCTATTTTTGTTAGAATAGACTACCCTGCATTTGAAGACGAAAGTGACCTCTACATATGACGCATGGAACTCTACACCAAGAGAAGATAACTCGTTTTTGTGAATTTTACATCCTAATTATTGATGGACCCTTTGTAATTGTTTTTCTATGTTACAATCGTCGGTTGTTGTACGAAGAAAATGAATAAAATAGACAGAAACTAAAATGATTTTTTTTCTTCTTCTTCATCGAAAAACATAATCAAAATTTTCATTGGGAGAGTGTCGACATTAATATGATCACATGTATGTTTTCTTACTTTGTGATTTTATTGCACACTACGTATAAATCACACACATTGACAAGTACTTATTTTAAAAACTAGCATGCACAAAATTACACTGAAATGAAAAATAAAATAAACAGACTTTCCACAAGGTGTACAAAAAATATAAATTTTCAGATGATGTATGCATTGGACATAATTACTACACACCGGATTTACAGAAATTATTCAGGAAAACGCAACCTTAAGTCACAATTTCACCATTCATAAAGTAAATGGACAACGGAAATATACCGCAGCTAATTAATATATCTGTAGATCCTGGAGATACCCGTAAGGAGCGTCAACGAAAGTTTAAAAGGTAAATAAATCAGTCGCTCATTAAATATTATTAAAACATACTTTAAAAGTGGACACCACCATATCATTGTTTTTGCAGCATTTAGTATCACGTGATTCGCGATTAGATTGGTTAACAGCATTATGATTAAAAAAGAAGTTGATGAATTATTTATTAAATTGATGTTTACGAGAAGGACGTGGATTACAAGGTCACCTTGTCACATCAGTAGGAATGGCAGCACAGCACAGGTGACGGCACGCAGGTATATATCTGTTGTATAGGACAGGTGACGGTACACAGGTATATATCTGTTATATAGGACAGGTGACAGCACGCAGGTACATATCTGTTGTACAGGACAGGTGACGGTACACAGGTATATATCTGTTGTATAGGACAGGTGACAGCACGCAGGTATATATCTGTTGTATAGGACAGGTGACGGCACACAGGTATATATCTGTTGTATAGGACAGGTGAGGCACGCTGGTATATATCTGTTGTATAGGACAGGTGACGGCACACAGGTATATATCTGTTGTATAGGACAGGTGACGGCACGCAGATATATATCTATTGTACAGGACAGGTGACGGCACGCAGGTATATATCTGTTGTATAGGACAGGTGACGGTACACAGGTATATATCTGTTGTACAGGACAGGTGACGGTACACAGGTATATATCTGTTGTATAGGACAGGTGACGATACACAGGTATATATCTGTTGTATAGGACAGGTGACGGCACGCAGGTATATATCTGTTGTATAGGACAGGTGACGGTACACAGGTATATATCTGTTGTATAGGACAGGTGACGGCACGCAGGTATATATCTGTTGTATAGGACAGGTGACGGCACGCAGGTATATATCTGTTGTACAGGACAAGTGACGACACGCAGGTATATATCTGTTGTATAGGACAGGTGACGGCACGCAGGTATATATCTATTGTACAGGACAGGTGACGGCACGCAGGTATATATCTGTTGTATAGGACAGGTGACGACACGCAGGTATATATCTGTTGTATGGGACAGGTGACGGTACACAGGTATATATCTATTGTACAGGACAGGTGACGGCACGCAGGTATATATCTGTTGTATAGGACAGGTGACAGCACACAGGTATATATCTGTTGTATAGGACAGGTGACGGCACACAGGTATATATCTGTTGTATAGGACAGGTGACGGCACGCAGGTATATATCTGTTGTATAGGACAGGTGACGGCACGCAGGTATATATCTGTTGTATAGGACAGGTGACGGCACGCAGGTATATATCTGTTGTACAGGACAAGTGACGACACGCAGGTATATATCTGTTGTATAGGACAGGTGACAGCACGCAGGTATATATCTATTGTATAGGACAGGTGACGGCACGCAGGTATATATATGTTGTATGGGACAGGTGACGGTACACAGGTATATATCTGTTGTATAGGACAGGTGACGGTACACAGGTATATATCTGTTGTATAGGACAAGTGACGGTACACAGGTATATATCTGTTGTATAGGACAGGTGACGGTACACAGGTATATATCTGTTGTATAGGACAGGTGACGGCACACAGGTATATATCTGTTGTACAGGACAAGGGTCACTGAAATATATTGTATCACTTCACCTCAGATTTAATACCAGTCGCTCGAAAGCTAACCAGTGGTTCGTGAAAATTCAAATTGCTGCCACTGAACAAAGATTATTAAATGCAAAATTAATACTCCAAACATATCTTACATGTCTCACCAAATCTACGTGTACGACATGGTAAAACATGTTCCCAGGTTTGGTTCACATTTGAAAAATCTCACTAACCAGCCTTTTAACAACCAGGCCCAGACTTCTACCTACAAAAAGACAATTACTATTTTCATATATGCATTGCAGTTTGAAAAATACTATTTATCAGGTCGAAAATATTCTCACTGCAAGTACATGTTGGTAATCCAGTCAACAAGTATTGAAATTTCAAAAACACAAGTGCCTGTTATGTTTAGTCTCGAAGGACACGACAAGGAAAGGGTATTCCAGATTAAGGTCGATTTTTTAAAATGTTCACCCGAATGGTTTGGTTAATCCTCGATAATCCAGGGGTTACGATCACTTTCGGACATGTCATGGTAAAATTGAAGGTTCGATGTTCGATATGGACAATACGAAAAGAGTACTCTGACGTACATCAAGCAAATCTCAAGATCGCAAAACGGTATATTGTAATGGCCTTGAAGTTGGGTGTCGCTCCTTTGTAATCTTCAATGGGAACTTATCAACCTATGATTGGTCAGTTTTTTTTCTCCTGGAAGCAATCAAGTACTTCGATCTTTTTTGCTATGAAATGCTCCAGGAGTGTAGAGAGCGAACGTGACCGTAACCCCTGTAATATCGAGGATTGTTTTGGTCACAAATATGTATAAACATAAAAGACATGCAAATGTTTGACATACAGGTTATTTCTCAATTGTGACAAAACGTAATTGTCGTAGCTGATAGTTCTTACACCGTTAAACATAAAATGTAATCAACGGTGGTCATCAAAACGCTAACAGAGGTTGTGTCGTGATCAATTCAATAATGTGACGAGTAGCAGATTTTCATTCTTCATCATGACGTGCACACGAACCATGTCAGCACCCGAGAAAACAGTAGGTTGGTGTTACTCGGACACCCTTCGTCAAAAAATTTGTTGTTGTTGTGCTGCATCGAAAGTCTAACCAAGATGACGAATTCAGGTTCCAGACAGACACACGTTTTAAACAGTCTACTTACATTTAAAAAGCTTTCCTGTGTGACAGTGTTTCATATGTAAATTTCCTGGTTGAACAATTCACCGTGTCCATTTCGTGCTCTCCCGTTAAGCCTCTGTCGACTACTGTAGAGACAACTTGTCTGAATGTTTTGCTTAAATCACGACAGAAATTACGGGCACACGTAAAGTAAGCGTTAATAACATTATAGGGGTTATAACCACGTCGTACCAATACAACCTAAACTGCTTTTTTCTACTTATATATCTAAAATTATTTATAGTACACCGATCAAGCTAACCATACTTCCTAAAAGAAGTCATCACCTGTACATAGCTTGGTCCAGGTAACCGATTGATCGGTAGTACTCCGATCAAGCTAACCATACTTCCTGAAAGAAGTCATCACCTGTACATAGCTTGGTCCAGGTAACCGACTGATCAGTCAGATTCACACAAAGTCAAGATGGCGTTTAGACGACATTCCTGTTGGAAAATCTTTCTGGTCTTCTTTCTCCTCTGTCCTATCTCATTTGCAATCGTCGTCAGTCAATTTGGATGCGAAATAGGTAAGATGTATGATAGTTATTTTTGTATGACAGCATAATATATCCTATTGTTGATACTTGTATTGTTATTCCTGGTAACTAGGATTCCAAGCATTAAAAAGATCGCAGTAATGTCTCCCAACGCAAAAGATTTCTATTCAAGTAAGCAACATTTTAATATTTCGCCAATCAGAAGCCTAAGTCTGGTTGCTATGACAACTCAGCTCATTAAAGTGAGTTATATATCGATTCTATTTAAAACATCAAAGACAAAAAGAGACGAAATATCATCCAAGTAAGATGATGTTGAAATTCCAGTCATTCTTCGATGACGTCATTTAGATTCTGAACATATACAGACCTCCGCCAATATTTCGCGCAAAAAATCATAAAATATTGGAGTAGTGGTCTCTGAGAATTGTAGTGACATATCGCATGACCTTTGACCTGCACATGAAAGAACTTGTCATATTCTTAGGCTTCTGTTTATATCACCATGGGCATGAAGACATCGTTGCTGTGGCAACAGAACTGGTGCAATCGAGTTATCAATCACTGACATCTGGATGTGACTTCCAACACTATGGGATATTGTTCAACCGATTTGGTTTGGTTGCTGTAGAAGCCATCTTGGATGGATGACTTCACAACTGGCCTTGAATTTGTATATCTACAGATGTACACCAATACTAGTGGTAAAATGTGAGAATATCTGATGCTGTTGTTAGTAACAGATCATGACCTTTGACTTCCGTAACAAATGAACAATCCCATGTAACACAATATTGGCAGGGATGACCCGCGGTAAAACACAAGTGATTGCATGGACACCAATGCTTGACTGCCATTATGATTGTGGTAATAGTTTACATAACCTTTGACCTGTAAAGCTGTTGAGCAACTCCATACCGTCGTCCACGTGTGTAACCTGTGTATCATCAACCACAGAACAGAAGAACCCGATGTTGACAGACGGACAACACAAAAATCTACTTCCTCCCCCTAGCTAACAAGAGGTAGACACAATTCCCCTCCCCAAACTAACAAGAGGTAGAAACAACTTCCTCCCCCAGACTAACAAGAGGTAGACACAACTTCCTCCCCCAGACTAACAAGAGGTAGACACAGCTTCCTCTTCCAAACTAACAAGTGGTAGACACAACTTCCTCCCCCAAACTAACTAGAGGTAGACACAACTTCCTCCCCCAAACTAACAAGAGGTAGACACAACTTCCACCCCCAGACTAACAAGAGGTAGACACAACTTCCTCCCCCAGACTAACAAGAGGTAGACACAACTTCCACCCCCAGACTAACAAGAGATAGACACAACTTCCTCCCCCAGACTAACAAGAGGTAGACACAACTTCCTCCCCAAGACCAACAGGAGGTAGACACAACTTCCTCCCCCAGACCAACAGGAGGTAGACACATCTTCCTCCTCCAGACCAACAGGAGGTAGACACAACTTCCTCCCCCAGACCAACAAGAGGTAGGCACAACTTCCTCCCCCAGACTAACAAGAGGTAGACACAACTTCCTCCCCCAGACTAACAAGAGGTAGACACAACTTCCTCCCCCAGACTAACAAGAGGTAGACACAACTTCCTCCCCCAGACTAACAAAAGGTAGACACAACTTCCTCCCCCAGACTAACAAGAGGTAGACACAACTTCCTCCCCCAGACTTACAAGAGGTAGGCACAACTTCTTCCCCCAGACTAACAAGAGGTAGACACAACTTCCTCCCCCCAGACCAACAAGAGGTAGACACACATAGTTAAGCTGTTCTGATTGTTATTCCAGAATACAGACATTTTGACTCTCTGTGGAAATTTGTTTCACCCCCCTACTCGTACTTCTATTGCAACAAACAGCTTGCTTTTGAAGGTATTTCATGTCTCTACATGGCAATGAAAATATATGCCACCGGCATGGCCTTTCCCAGTTCTTCCAGGCAAATACGATATCTTTACATATACTGGTAAAATTATTTCTACAACAATGTCCCTACTACTAAATTCTTATTTAAGATGATATCTACTTGTGTTTATTTTGTAAACAGCCCTTCATTAATGATTTTATCTATTTTTCGTTTGCAGGTATCCTGAAAAGAGAAACTTTGGCCACGTTCAACTCCTTTCGTTTGGAGATAATCCCGATCGACATCATCCTCAAACTATGGTTCCACTTGGCAGTGTACATCTGGCATCTGGTGTGGATCATATACCTCGTTGTCTGTGTCTTCCGAGAAACGACGTGCGCCTATATCTACCAACTTCCGGTTTATCCGTCAACCATGTTAGGACTGATGGCATTAAATTTGTTTACCAACGCTGGTTGGTTGATAGCGTTTGACCAATACAGACTGGTATTATCTCTGATTCTGTCGGTGATTTCACTCGTTACGCTGTCTGTGTCTTTGTGTCTGGCATACAAACATCTTTTAACACTAGACACTTTGATGAGAAGACTTGAACTTAAAAAAGACATCTGGCTGATCCGCATCCTGATCCATGAATGTCTTGCATTCTATGGAGCCTTATTAGTCATTTCGACACTTTTAAATCTCTGCATGTGCATGACGTTTCGATGGGACGTTGATCACATGGTATCCTGCCTTATCGTCCTATCTCTGCTTGGTTCTGCAATGTTTGCTTGCTTTTTTGTGGACAATGCGTTATTCTCTACCTACACACAGTGGACATTCTCCCCGTACCTTGTTTATATCGTGGCTGTGTGTGGAATGCTGTACCGATCGTATGACTTGAACCTCAGGTTTTCTGTGTCTGTATTTCTGGTTTGCCTTCTGGTGTTTGCATGCTTTGCACTAGGAACAAAACTTGCCATTTTGGGCTACAGACTTTGTATTGCACATCAGAAAAAGAAACAAAAACCTGCGCTGGAAATCCGCTCTCATAAATAAAGTAATATTAATAGCAGTAAAACTTAGCCAGCCTTACATGATTATCTTTAAAATTGCCATATATATACCATTTTAGCTACTCTGAGTTAGAAAACGCTGCTTTCATCCCTAGATTTAAGATGCCATTGGAAATATATTTCATCTAGTGGCCTTAAAAGGAAATCAATGTATAATTTGACTATGTTTTATATTCCCTTATCCTTTGATGCTATGCTGAATGCTTAAATTCCAGCGTGATTTTTTTCTTAATCTTTTGATCAATTAAAGTAGATGGAATAATAACTGTAATTGTTTATCATTGTATAACTTTTTCTTCCTCTCCCTTTTTGAATAGCTTTGCAGGAAAGAAAAAAAAGGTAGTCAGTGCAATCTACATCACATTGACTTGTCAATCTGTACTTTACTGACTTGTCAATGACACCAAGCACACCACTGTTACTATAAAGACTTTTGCAGCAAAAGCAATATGCTTTATGTCTCTCCAGCTTTCCATTCACAATCCTCCTACATATAAGATGATGCAACACAGAACACCCAATAATACAACACACAACACAAGGAGACAACACACAGCATAAAGAAACCCCATATAGCACCAGGAAACAACACAGCACCAGGAACCGTCGTTTGATTCTAAAGAACCCAACAGCACCTTATAAACAAGCTCAACACTAATCCACCATCATAAACTTAATTTATTAAAACGGGATTGATGTTTCAATCTTAATCACGGTAATGTGAAATTTGATGACTTTTCAGTATTCCTCCCTCAGCTGTTGTTTATCACAGGAGGATTATCAGTGAAATACTTCAACAAAATGTTCATAAAACACAATGTTGACTCTGTACTTTGTCGACATTAATGATTGATGTACCGACACCATTTTGTCTGTAATGTGTATAAATCGTTGTACATCTTTATTATATCTATATTTGTTGGTGTTCGATCTTGGTACTGATCTTAAATGTCCCAATAATCTTAGCGTCGTTGCGTTTTGCCTGTTCCACGTTTACCAGCATACAGATGTTTGGGCATCATGTTGAGGATGACACGATCACCTTCGCCCTTCTTTGCGTTTCTATTCCTCGGGACTTGTGCCTTTCTTCCAATCTTCTTTGCTTTGGTAGCCATCTAATAGATACAAGTAAACAGAATTATTAGCATAGCAGAATAATGTTAGTGCTTCAATCCAAATTGGATAGAATATCACAATTTATAAAGCTTGTAAATATATAACTCAAAACTGATCTCATTGTGGTGTCACCAAAGGGAACCTAACAAATCAAAGACCAATATTGCAAGAAATTGATACATGTAGTTCTCACCTCCTGACAAACTTTGATATATCAAAAAATTGACAAAGGGCCATAAGTCTATATTAAGTTGTGCATAACACTAGGCCACTCCTAGAGAAATCCATTACTAATTTTTTCTGTATTTAAAAGAGTGAATATCACTTCCAGATCCTTACTTTAAGTTTCTATCAACACAATAAACTTACTCAAATATTACAATAGTTAATGAATAAATTAACAGTGAAACTGTTGTTCCTTTTCCCTTAACACCACTATGCTAGTAGCATAGGTTGAAAAATGTAGTGTAAAACCTGAAGTCAGTTCTGCTAGTATGAGTAAGGAACTCAAAATCCTAGAAACCTGATCCCTTCCCCTGAATCATGTAGCTTTATACTGACCACAACATCGCGTACACCAGACTTGTCTCTTGGCACCTTTGAGCGACTTAAGCTCCTAGTTTTGGAGGTATCCATGGCTGTTGTGGATTCACTGCGCTTTCTCTTTACAGCTTGCCTACTAGCACTCCTCGATCGAGCTCTAGCCATATGTGTCTAAAATAAAAAACAATACAATGTTCAAATCACACAAAACATTTCATATTTTTCCTATATCTATTTATACTTATTTTATATATACTGTATTACATATTATATCTATATATTATTTATATTTATATGTCACTCCCCACATTTTCAGAAACTGGAGACAACTTCTATTTTCATTGACTTCCATTTCCAATTTTCTCCAAATCAGCCCCAGTATCTTTTCACACTGGAAGTATCTTTGTCTCTATCTTCCAACCTTTACTTCCATTTTCCCCAATATTCATCTTCACATGTTCAACTTTTTAAAATAATTACCTGTAGGTTCTTAGAAATAGAAGATAACTGACCCCTTCCTCTATTCCTCTATATCTGTTACTACATTCTCAGACAGGGAGATAACTCACTCCTTCCTTGACTTCCACCTCCATCCCACTATATCTGCCTTACATTCTCAGACAGGGAGATAACTCACTCCTTCCTTGACTTCAAGCTCCATTTCTATCTATATCTGCCTTACATCATCATACATGGAGATACTGGTAACTCACTCCTTGATTTCATTTCTCTCGATTTCTGCCTGCATGGGAGATAACTCACCTTTTCCACTGCCTTTGCCTTACATTCTCAGATAGGGAGATAACTCATTCCTTCCTTGACTTTCAATCTCATTTCTATCAATATCTGTTTTAATTCTCATAGATGGGAGATAACTCACCCTTTCACTCCTATTTTTCTCTGCATTTGCCTTACATTCTCAGACAGGGAGTTAGCTCACTCCTTCCTTGGCTACCACTCCAATTTCAATCTTTATCTGCCTTACATTATCAGACAACGAAAATAACTTGCCCCTTCCTTGACTTCCACTCACATTTTTGTCTATATCTGCCTTCAATCATCAGACATGGGAGATAAGTCAGGCTTTTCACTCATTTTTTTTCTCTATATCTGCCTTACATTCTCAGACAAGGGAAATAACTCACCCCTTCCTCGATTTCCACACCCATTTCTTCCATATCGGTCACCATGCTCTTTGTATCAATCTTCTGTGCTTTCTTTGGCAGACGAGGCTTATTGATGCGTCTCTTCTCTCTTGATTCTATCATCATAATCTTCCTCTTTTCTTTAATTCTGTTAAAATGAAAGACCATGTGATTATAAAATTCTGAAATAACACTTTAATAATCACATTCCACCATTCTGTAGTAAGTGACTTTAATAATAGAAGTTGTTACCAGATCAAACATTTGTTTTCAATTTAGAGATTGCCTGTATGAAACCATCAATATTTCAGGCAAAGGTGTAAACAGAGATACCTTACACTGCAGTTACCAACAATTTTACTCAAGAACTTCCCTTTAATTTATCAGTCAAAAACACAGTTTTCTTGTCTCTACCTGAAGGAAAAATCAATTCTGGAAGTTTTCTTGGCATTGATGTTTTAGGCAACGAAAAAGTCTGACATTCAATAAATGTATTGATATTGGTACCAGTTTCCATACTAGCAAAGATACACTGATATTGGAGTGATGTCAAAAACTAAAAATTTTCCAACTTACTTTTTAGCTGTACGTCTTATATATTTCATCTCTTCGTCTTCCTCACTGCTTTCATTGTCATAGTAACCAGCTTTCTCTCGTAAATCTTCTTCCTTCTCAAGTGCATCAAGTTTCTGAAAAACCAGAAATCAAAATAGAAATCAAACTTAAAACACTTTACCCACAATCCTCTTCAAAGAAAAAGTGACAATGAAGTTTAACTCTCATTCATGGGACTATGACTAAGAGTTGGTCTTAAGACATATTTATCATCAATCATGTTAAATTTTATTTTAGACCAACTCAATTCATTTCCATAGAGTAAACCAATTCCTGAATCCTTGTATATCAATAAAGCTATGAATTTTGTTATAACTAGTGTTTACATGTCCCCCATCCAACATGAACTTCTGGAAGCTGTGCAAGTGTCTGATTAAGCATGAATCCCATTGGAAATACAATTTATTTTTTCAAAGTAAAAAAAGTAAACACAATTATATTCACTTTTGAATTTGACATTTTGCAATTATGATAAACATGTCAAACAATTTACCAACTCTGACAGATTGATAATCAAAACAATTAATACGAAGTCACCAATATATCTCCTATGATGATCTGGTCAAATTGAAGCAAATCAAACAAATATTTAGTACTTTGATTCTGAATCTGAGTGAGATTAATATATGAAACTAGAAAATATCTGTAGGACACTGACACCCCTCTCCACCTCACTGTAAATTTTTGATGAATAAACAGAAGATGTCCAACCTGAGGTTTCCCCCTATTACCCCTGACCAATAATACTTTAATATAACTAACATTAATAGATGTAAAACTGGTATGTTATAATACTATGGGGTAAATATAAACCAAATTTTCGTGTATATATTCTCATAAATTGATTTAGAATAGAACAAGATGAGACAGACTGCGACAGTACAGACAGATAAGGTTAATACTGTATATCCCCTAATCCTTACAACATAGCATGACAAAGTATACAAACCTCCATGATATCAGGGTCTATGAAGTCAGCCACATTATGGCCCTGCCAGATCTCGGGGATGACATCATATGTTTGCTCTTTTTTGGCTAAATCCCATGTTTCTGTAATATAAAGAAACAATGAATAGACAAAATTCCTAACACTAAATGAGAGGAAAGGAAAAAACTACACTTACTACTGGAAAATTATATCTGCAAATTTTATTTGTGAATTTAGTCAAACCAATAACTCATACAGATGTAGAGAGTTTGGTTTATTGTTGTTTGATGTCCTACAGCCAGGGTCATGTAAGCATGTGCCAGGTTTGTGGAAGAAAGTTCCCAGAAAAAAACACTAACCTGCAGCCAGTACCTGGTGATTGCCATGTAGGCCCTAAACCCAGAGGTGAAGGGCTAGTGATAAAGTCAATTAGATGCCTTAACTACTCCACCAGCTAAAATCAACACTTACTTCTAAGATCAACACTTACTTCTAAGATCAACACTTACTTCTAAGATCAACACTTACTTCTAAAATCAACACTTACTTCTAAGATCAACACTTACTTCTAAGATCAACACTTACTTCTAAAATCAACACTTACTTCTAAGATCAACACTTACTTCTAATCTAAGATCAACACTTACTTCTAAGATCTAGGTAGTAATCATCTCCCTGTTCCAGTTCTATGTCTCGCTCCTGTAAAATGAATGTGTCTCACGTAATTAATTAAAGGAATTTCTCATTTGATTATGAAAATTCTATTTCTAATAATAAGAATTATGTATCTATACAGACTCTTTCACAAGTTTCATATAAATGTGACTTCTGACACAAATGTAAGTACAGAATCTTTCACAAGTTTCATATAAATGTGACTTCCGACACAAATCTAAGAATTTTTTCATTTAACTGAGGATCAAGCGAGATATAATATAGATTTATTCTATCACATCAACACTTACTTTTGCATATTATTGGAGAAAATGTGCTTTTCCATCTAATTTTTTACATTATCTGACTGTTTATCTATAACTTCATTATGAAATCAGACATAGCATGTCAGTGATGTCATTTCATGGTCATCCCCTCACGCCACTATCTAATTACATAATTTAATATATATATATAGTATTATATCGGTGTAATTTTTCTATGAATAACAAGGGAAAATATGGGTTTGTTTCCAATGGTATGGCAGAAAGATAAAACTCAGAGTTTATATTTATCAAAATCACCAACTAATAACAGGGAGAAATGGACATTCACCAGAAAAGCATACAAACATGTGTTATATGAGGGCACCATGAGATGCAGTAACTTACTGTCTTTTTCTTGTTTTCTGTGTCCATTGCCTGTTCTTTTCTTTGGACTCCTGGTGGTATGTATGGCGGTCTCTCCTGTACACAATGGACAAGATTCTCATTGATTACATCCAGATAAATCATGTGATACAGACTCGAAGGCACACTGTCTTTCCTCTAGACATATCACATCAAAGGCCTGGCAAAAACTTTATTCCAAAATATAATACACTCAATTTGATAAAATGGGACCAGAAAGTTTCTGATAAATTATTACTTTGGTCTTTTTTTAGTACTCATACCTTGGTGTCCCTTTTAGCTGGCATGGCTACATGTAGTCTGTTCATTACATCTGACACTTTCTTAAGTTTAATTTTCGTCTCGATCCTGTGAGCTAAAAGTCTTTCACATGCCTAAAGGAAAATAACAAGCAACTGCTTAAGAAATTCATGTTTTATTTTTGTAAAATTTCACTATACAATTTTTTAATAACTTAAGCATGTATGATAAATGTATCAACTAACAAATCACTGCTGATAAAACTTTCAAAACAAAACAAGAATATCATAGCCAGTTATTTTCACAGGGACAATATTTTCCAATACATAAAAATGATCATGAAAATTTAGTTTGTGAAATAATGAGACGTCTGTATAATATGCTCTTTTATATTCAAATCACAAATTTCATTTTGTTGAAATATTCTTCAATTGTTTTAAAAGAAAACTGCAAAAATTTTGTCTCACAAAAATTACCAGCTACATGTAAAGAAGAGGTTATTACTTTAATTTACTTTATTTCTCTCATCATTCTTGAAATACAGTAAAAATCACCTTTTATAAACAAAAATGGGGACTACAGGTATTAATAGAAGGAAGACACAAAATGACCTATTAATGTCACGAAGGTCAATAAGGAAAATAAGGCATCAGACAAATGGACAGAGATTTAGATAATCAAAATATTCTTGTGAAAACCAGGTATGGAAAACCATACTTACATCTGTTTTCACTTGCATGACTCCCTCCTCTGATAAAGTACTCATATGTAAAACTGGAATACCCTCTTCTTCAAAATCTTTAAATATTTGCTGGAAAGAAAACAAAACATTTATACAATTTGTTCAAGTCAGGTTCAATCACAGTAAAATTATTTCTGTTGTATATTGGTAATATTGTTTTTTTATGACAGTAAAAAAAATCCATAATAATTTTGACCCAACAAACTAAGTATCTGAAATATTTTTTTCTATGACATCGATACTGATAATTTTCAGTATTCAGTTTATATAAATAACACTATATTTTATAGATATATATTTACCTGTTTCTCTTCTGGAAGTTCCTCTACTTTAGTAACATCAATTTTGTTGGCAACAACTATCAGAGGTTTGTTTGTAAATAGAGGTTTTATACTGCTGAAGAGGTTAAGCTGAAAAATAGTATGAAATAATCCATAGGAAAAATTATTGATTTTTTTTCAACGTCAAACAGAAATATTCCTATGAATATGGTAAACTTTGACATCTGATAAGGAGAGTTTTCAGATTAATAGTAAAAAAGTTGCTCTATATACATCTCACTTATATGCAATGAATTTCACCAACATCCAGCATTTTGTAACTGAATTATACATGTTAAATTATGAATTTATATATAATATTATAGTCCTATTAAATATTTAACAAGCTTAACTTGTGATGCTCAATCTTAATAGAAAACAATTTTGCTAAATCTGGAAAAAAAATGTACTCAGTTACCTGTTGCTCTAGGGAGTGACCACACTGTTCAGACACATCCATGATGTACAGGACAGCTGACCGCAAATGGGCCAGAGCTGTAATTGCCTGCATTTCTATTGTGTTTCTATCCTCTAGTGAATGGTCAAGAATTCCTGGTGTGTCAACGACCTGTAAAACAGCATTAATGAATGAGATAATGTCACTGTCTGAGTTACAGTAACTAACCCTTAGTCATTTAGGAACTTCCTAATGTTTTCATAAATTTTAAATTTCATCACCAGAAGCAGACACATAAATACACATTATCAGTCTAAATGCCAACTTTTCCAACCAACATTCTCATAAACTAAGTAAAAGATTTTATCATCCTCTGACACTTCTCACAGTTAACAATAACCATCAGACATCTTACACACCTGCCATCGTAGATATTTGTAGTCTGTATGGCCGACAAATAAGGATTTGGTTGTGAAGGCGTAGGGTTGCACTTCCACATCAGCTCGAGTTATCTGTGATAAGGAAACAAATATGTAAATAGACATGTTAGTTATTAAATGTTAATCAAGCGTGACTTTAATGACATTTCAGTCATTAGGAAATCAGATTATACATCATACAGTATCAATGACTGCATTTAACTATACATCAAGTTTCACATCTCGGATTCATCTTTGTAAAGTACAAAATGTCTTTTAAATATGAATTCCTGTTTCTATGTAAACCATATTCTGCAGTAATTTTAGGATATTTGCAGTCAAGTCGAAAATTCCTATTCCAAAATTCTGATGACTCCCTCAAATAAGAGATATAGTGGATTCTCAAAATGTTAGTGACTCCTACAGGAAAAGCATGAGTCAAGGACTCAAATCTCTCAGTCCAAAATCTGATCAGGCAGAGGTCTTGATGTTTCGTGCACCAGCGTGTCAATGTAAACTGACCTTGTTGATGAAGCTGGACTTGCCGACGTTGGGGAAGCCACAGATAAGGAGTGTCCTGGTGTTGGGGTCTATGGATGGCAGACGAGAGAGATGTTGTCGTACCTGCTCCAGGTATTCCAAGCTTTGTTTCTGTCTCTTCATCACAGTACACATCCTGTAAAATAAAAAACCAGCACCTTATTTAAAAATCAAACAAACTTAAACCTTCTTATTGCTAATTTTTTTCCAAAACATTGAAATTTATTGCAAATTCACTCCGCAATGAGTGATAATTCATACATTTTTACATTCATGCCATAAAACAATGTATGTTTTACATTTTAAAACTAATTTCTTTGGAAATAATGCTGCTCAAAAAACACTTACAGACATGGAAAGAATATGTCTACTAACTCACCTTCCCAAGGCAGCTTTTTTGAGTTGTTTACACCTGTATAAGGAGTCTCCATACTTCAGGAGGCGGTAGTAGTCCTTAGCCACACTACAATTAAGACAAGTTCAAATGAAGAAATGACAACTTGTAATTATGCTGTGATTGACACAAAACATTCAATACAGTTAGAAATATTTGTATTAATAAAATGTAGGACTACCAATGTAGTATCTCAGGTTGTTTAATTCATCTCTTTTTAAGTTTGTTGCTTCATCTATATCCATACAACATCCTGATATATGATATAGATCAGTTCCCAGTAATCGCTACAAATTTTAATCATTTTATATCCAATTGTAATGAAAAAGTAATGAAAACTGCAATAATAACACATATACAAGCACAGGAAGAAAAGTGACTGTCATCCAGGTACTTTTATGTAACAGCAGAAAGAGGGAGGTAACTGTTAGGAGCAATAATACTCTAATTTAATTAACAGTTATTTTTTAAGTGTTTGCTTTTCGAATTTTCTACACTACTTTTGTAATTTATAAAATATATAAAAGATAAAAAATACAGTGAAAGAATACGGATATTGATTGTTAGCAAGATGGATAATAAATGTAGACTGTACTTGTCAATGAGGTGTCGAGCGGTGTTGATCTGTCCAAGAGCGAGCTTGTAATGATCCTTGTCATAAAGGACATTCATCAGGTCAGCGTAGAAGGGATGGACATCCTGAAAAAAAATATAGTATGTACTACCATAATCAATCCTACACATTGTATTCTGTATATTGACAGTAAATTCTGGTGATTTATCTGACTTAAAATATAACCTTGTATATGTGTTTACACTGTAACATATCAGAAAAAGGTATCTGACCGTCTATGTAGAAGAGATCTTTACTTACAGTCTTTCCTTAAAACATTGTCAAATGTGAATTTCCATTTTGACTCATATCAACAGAGACATGTTATATTTTACGATACATTTTACAATATCTAGAAAAAAGTCATCTCATCATGCATTTTAACAAATATTGATTTTGACATTTGTCAAATTGTGAAAGATTAAGACCAGTTTTAATTCATGAGAGAAAAATACAATAAAGTCACCAAGTTTCCAATACTTACCTCAAGTTTGGGAAATTCTTGTATGATCTGGGTAAACTTGTCGTGAAATGTCTGAGAGGCAAATTTGACTTTTCGCATGTAAAAAGTCCTTATTCTGGAGATCTTGTAGTGTTTGTGTACAACTGTTGGTGTCTTACGTTGGGTTTTAGATAAAACAATATCTACAAAGTCCTGAAATAGAAACATCAGAAGATGTCAATTTCATTACCAGCGAAGTACAACACAATGTTCTGTTGTGTTTGAATGGATTAATGTAAACTTGTGACTCAATTCTGTCAAATTCAAGGGGTTTTACACATATAAGTCTAGTCTTTTACAGGAAGAGTGATTTTTTTGTTTCAGCTTGAGCATAAAAAAAATTGGATTCACTTCAACTCCTTTCAAAAGATTGTCAACTCAGAAACATTTATGGAAATTAAAGTAATTAAGTTCATATATAGAATACCTATTAAAATGACACTTTCAGACTCACCATTCATATGCAATGTTAAATGGATAATAAATAATAATTGCCAATATCATTTATGTACAACATGATAAGTTAAGCTAAAGCACTTATTGTCTATTGACTTATTGTTTTTCTTTCCAACGATTTCAACACAATTGTTATAAGATTAAATTAAATCAGAAGAATGTAGATAAAAGCAATCTAAAAATAGATTCACACACCTGCTCATAACTTTAATGTAACTGCATACTGACATTGTGTGGTTTCTAGACTATGTTTAGTTAAATATCCTTCTTGTAGAGATTGTTATTAATTGATTGTATGTTAATGAATCAGTGTTTCCTTTAAATCCTCGGAGTTGAGATAATGCATTTTAGCTATAATACAGCATCTTACTAGTTAGCGAACTCCCTCAGAGAGTCGAGCGACTCAACTTCATAATTCCAATTGAATTCTCATTCATTCGTCTGTTCAACATATCACAGATATTTGAATTCAAATTCTGAATGTAAATTGAGAAATATATATAACATATGAAGACTTATAAAAACGATATGTGATATTTCTCTATTTACACTCAGAATTTCAAAGACCTTGAAACACATGTTCATCATTTTAACAAAAACCATACTGTGTACATGCCAATGGCATTGATAAGAAGTCTTGACAATTAACTGCGAATACTGTAGACATATTCGAAAACCACTCAACAACAAATATATTACATTCTTTTGAAAAGGTACAAGGCATGAAATTATAAACAAAATTTTGAATGAAACGTCTCGAAGTTTGGAGACAATATTCTTCGGTATTTTAGGACCTTTGTCATAACAGCTGTTTAATTCCATCATGAATTCAACATAACACTGAGAATACATACCTTTGCAGGTGGTACGACCGTGATTTTCTTAAAATTATAGTGAGCCATCGTTGATGGATGGTGAAATTATCAGCTCACATGTGGAAAGGAAGTAGTGGGTTGTCAAACGGAGCGACGTGAATCCTCAGTAATGATTGGCTGTTATTCCTTGAACAATATATAGGGAGCACACCAGTAAAACGTAGACTTACGGGGAACAGTTCCATGAAAATGTACTCGTTGGCATGAATACTACCGCAGTACAAGTACATATCAATTTATTTAACAAATGATAGTTCATGGTATTAGAACATTCTAAATACTAAGTACTCTGATGTACTAATAAATTTATAGCATATGTTATATCAGAGACGTATGTGATATATACGTCTCTGGTCTCTGGTTATATGAATACTGTATCATTTCTAAAATTTAAACCAAACCCCACTTCATATTAATTGAACACAATTTAACAAAGAATTGAAAGCTGAAACGATATTTATCGTAAACCAAGTGAAAAATCTTGACACTTAACAAAACTAATAACAGTTAATCCTATATTAACAGGGTATGTAGTGGGTTCGTGTAATTGTTGGATCTATCGCTCTGTCAACAGTCATGGTTATTTTGAGGTATTTAGTTCCTTGTAAAATAATCGGAGGTTACTCCACTGAACAACATGCAACTTGCGACCGGGTAGTGCCTTGCCAAAGGACACAGCCATGACAGCACAGGAAGGGACTAATGAGTCAAACACCGTCAGATTGCATTGCAGTACTCCAATAATATAATAAAGTACTGTGACTATTAAGGAACGACAGCTCTGGTAAATATTGCCATTGGGTGTCTATTTCCTCTTCGAAAGGAAAGACACGACGGACTCTTCTACATCGGTTGCTTATCTCGATTTTTTTTTCTCACAACGAAACCAACATGGATAGTTTTCCACCGAGTTGTATGATAACGTGATTTCAATTCCCCTGTTGTGAATTTTCCATTGCTGGATAGCAATACCCTTATGGTATTTACATGTCACAGTTTATACGATATTCAAGGGCCAGTTCTCATTATCACGATCTCCATCAACTGACGGACAAACTCTTAACTCAGGGATTCAAAAGATGCAGGTTGATGAAAATTATAGGGAAGTTTTATGTTCTATTTCTTTGTATGATATGAAGCTGGATGTGATTGGTGCTCGTTATTTACCTGTTGGTTACGTTGTTGTATTCATTTGATAACGTGACATCACTTACTTAGATTGACAAAGGTTTGCATGGCGAGTGTTGTCGATGAAGCAGAAGTTTACTTTTCCTGAACACATGGCCTTATTCTTCTTGTTCTTTTTTCAGGAAACTCAGCGTAAATCTTTCTTTTGTTCATAGTTTGCCCCAATTTTATGAAATTTGAGTTTGGATTATGATTATGTTGCCATGTTGGTATTTTCTCTCCGGTTTTTAATTAGCAATGTGCTGTATACAGCTGCGTCAGAGGCGATACCAGCTAGCGTTGTGGCCGTTTAGATTTATTATTTCACTTCTGAAATCGTGTCGGTCTGGAAGAGCACACGTCTTTCATTTACTATTATAAACTCTAACCATATCTTTCATTTTTCTCAATTTTCAAAGAAATAAACCAAATCTCCCGCGCGGTTAAGATGTCCTATGAATCCGGAAGCGTACAAGAGAAGTCACATGACATGAAAATGGCGAGCCAAAACATTGCGGTGTTTGGTGTGTTAACACTATCGTTGTGTTGTTTTTGCTACGGAGGTGTCGTCACAGTAGACCTAAATGGAAACTGGACGGTACGAGATGAAAACAGAGGTAAGTCATGTTACGTTTGAAGCTTGTTGATACGATATTCTTCGTGTTTCCCACTTCTAAACTGAGACGGATGCATGCCGCTTATAGGCGTACGGCTAATTACAGGAGTACAGAGGATCAAGCAAACCTAGTATGTCGGGCTTGGGAGCTCACATATTGGAACAATTTCATGCACAATACAGACGCACTCCTGACTTGTATATGTTGTCACTGGGCAATATTAAGACGGAAATGTCAACACCATTCTGTTTCACCAGGAATGTACATGTAAGATATAGGGAGGCGGCCTATCTCCTTGTAAAGATACATATGTACAGCTAAGTCAGCTATATCCTTGTTGTGTTGGTACACAAGCTCCCCCTAGCATACATGACTAACACATTCGATTTAAAATGGACTAGAAAGCTGGATAAATTTTAAACTGACCATGCTATTTTTTGTGATAATTTCTATATATTATATTTGATATTTTCAAATTAAAAATGTTTAATAAGTTATTTATGACTGAAATATCAGACCATATGGAATAAAACCTCCAGCTAAAATAGGAAAATATTGTTTATCAAATCAATGATATTACAAAGCCAAGTGTTTTTTTATTTGGCACATATTTTTATGATAAATCATTTTGATTTATATTATTTTTGTTAGGAAAATGGGCTCACTTATCACTGATTGACAAAATGGCTCTGATAGTGTGGCGTGAAAATTAACTGTAGCATATAATAGAATGGAGCACCTGTAGATGAGATTAGTTAAACCCGTGAGAAGACTTCAATGACTGCATGACTGGGTTAACAAACATGAAAGCTGACACAAGATTTTAGCCTCCACTGGGTTTGCTTACCATTCTATGCATTATAAGTCTTTAATTTCATTTGACAGATTGATATGTTATTGTATGATGTCAATAACTTATATTAAAAACTTGCAACAGGTTTAATATTTCCTTATGTTTACACAATTTATATACAAATTAAAGTGTGTTTGGTAAGTTAATATTCAACCACTATAAGTTTGTAACCTACCAACTATTTTACCTGGGTTTGATACAGTTTATGACCTAATTACTGTATATAACTATACATGTAATGTAAAACTCACACTGCCTATGAGTTCACGCATTGTAATCAATACTACATGTATGAGATGCAACTTTTGCTGTGAGTATTCTCTCAAGCCAAAAGAATTTTTTCTTTTATCCAACATGGTTGCACCACTTTGGGTTATCATACATAATACCATAAAGCACTAGTGTACATTGTGACCTTTCTGTGTTTCAAGTTATGTTACCTTTCTATTACAGGTATATCTGTTACTGGGAAGGTGCCTGGAAACATGTATACAGCCCTCATGGAGAGTAACATGATTCATGACCCGTATTACAGGAAAAATGACGAAGAGTATCGTTGGATTTCCAGGGATGACTGGTCATACAGTCGTACATTTCAAGGTTTCTGTTTTGATTTTTGTTTTTGTTTATTCAATTATTCCTTTGAAAAGCATGTTTGGCCTGACTATGTGGCTTTGACAGTTAAATAGTCATCATTGTTTATATATTTGAATCTGATGATCAAAGTACACATTGTATAATCTACTGGTTTGGTCATTTTTCAGGTTTCTGGCTTTTTTTATTTTTTTTTTGTTTATTTATTAACTCTTTCTTTTAAAAACATTATATTTCTACAAGTGAATGTTGATCCTACATACACACACTGTCAGTCATTATCCCAAAATGTGTTGAAGTGACTATTTGAAATGATTAACACCGTAATGTATAAAAAGGATATGATTAGAATGTTTTGATTAAAGATATTCATTTCATAACTGATAAAAGACATTATAACATTTAAATATCTGTTAAAAATTGTGCACTTCCTGTTAATTATGATATTTTAAAGTTTGCATAACCATTTTGATTAACAACATTGTCTTTGAGCATGCAATTTTAGATTGATTAAAATTCATTTACTTCTGTCATACGTAAAGCATGAAACAAGAGGCCATTTTACAAAATAAGAATTGAAACATTGCTGGCAAATAAAGTATTGGCTAATTACATAATTATACATGGTAAGAAATCATATCAAGTTAAAACAAGGCTCTGAAAGGTCACTATCTCTCACCCTATATATGTATTGTATTCTTGTGGTATAATGAACAAGTGACTATGGGTGAATGTGTGTGTGCATGTATGAATGACTTGGATAAAACATTTAGATGGATGACATATACGTATTGTATATGATAATAACGTGCACTAGAGATATGAGGATGTATGGTAATGAAGGTGGTTATAATGATAATGAGGTGAATAGTGATGACAGGCATGTATACATATTCATTGTAAGAATAATAGAATGTCATGGGTGGATGGATAGATGGATGATGGATGGATGATGGATAGATGTCTTGTTTTGTACAATTATGTCAAAATCTTTCAAAAATAAAAAAAAATGTAAAAAAAAAAAAAAAAGGCTCTGAAAGGTCACATGATGAACTTTGCTATCGCCGATCAAAACAGCGATGGGTGGTAGACACAACAGCGAGTGTCAACTAGCTTCCTTTTTTAAGTTGATAATCATTATCAATTTCTCTCAGAGAGTTATAATTTTGTGGAGAGTCTAATTTTAAGTATTACAATGCTTGCCTGAAATCAAACTCATGGGAAAAAATAACGAAATTTAGCCATTCAATTAGTCCCTTGAAACAAATTGGCCCAGAATGACAGTCTAGCCTGAGAACTTATAATCAGTGTAGTTGTAGTATTTTAATTTTCAGGTGACATCGGAGCACCGTTTTCAAAATTTTGATAGATATCTTTATTGAATTATTGAGAGCATATATAAAATGTAGACAAGTTCAGTGGGAAAAAAAACTTGTGACCCCTTTGTCCCAAACCTGATACGATGAATTACATTTATGTTAGCACTAATTTATCGGGTGCTGATTAGCCAAGATTTATCACTTATTCAAAATTAACATGAAAAAAAAGTGACACATGTTGTGAGTCTTAATATTAAGTCAGGAGAAAGAACAATGACAACATCAAATTGTTATCATGGTAGAGGTGTATTATAACTAACCTTTTTATCATTTATAGTGACCAGTGAAATGCTAGGACAGAACACCCTTGAGCTAGTCTGTGATGGGTTAGATACTGTGGCTGTGATCTTTATCAATGGTCATGTCATTGGTCAGTCAGACAATATGTTTGTCCGTTATATATTCAACATCAAACAGGCTGCTGTTGTAAGTACTAGTTTCTTACCTGTTAATACTACTGAAATGTATTGTTGTGTGTCATTCATGAATTATCTTTCCACGTTTTGTAAGTGTAGTCATTTACCAGAGGATTCTCCTTACTTTTCCAGATTCTTTATGAGTTGACCTGCCTACAGGCCCTGTTAATCTGTGACACACTCATTGTGTTTTTGCTACTTTTTATTCCTTTATAATTGCTGGTAAACCTGGTCTATATTTGTCTCTCTCTAATATTCACAGGTTGGTACAAATACTATAAAAATATCTTTCAAATCAGCTGTAAAGTATGCTGCCCAGCAGGCAGCAAATGGGGAGTATGTTGTTCCCCCGGAATGTCCCGTCCCTTCATATCATGGAGATTGTCATGCCAACATGATCAGGAAGATGCAGAGTTCATTCAGCTGGGACTGGGGTCCATCATTTCCTACACAGGGAATATGGTAGGTATATACAGGGAATATGGTAGGTATACACATGGAATATGGTAGGTATACACATGGAATATGGTAGGTATATACAGGGAATATGGTAGGTATATACAGGGAATATGGTAGGTATATACAGGGAATATGGTAGGTATACACATGGAATATGGTAGGTATATACAGGGAATATGGTAGGAATATACAGGGAATATGGTAGGTATATACAGGGAATATGGTAGGAATATACACATGGAATATGGTAGGTACATACAGGGAATATGGTAGGTATATACAGGGAATATGGTAGGAATATACAGGGACTATAGTAGGTATATACACAGAATATGGTAGGTATATACAGGGAATATGGTAGGTATACACATGTGGTAGGTATACACATGGAATATGGTAGGTATATACAGGGAATATGGTAGGTATATACAGGGAATATGGTAGGTATACACATGTGGTAGGTATACACAGGGAATATGGTATGTATATACAGGGAATATGGTAGGTATATACAGGGAATATGGTAGGAATATACAGGGAATATGGTAGGAATATACAGGGGGTATATACAGGGAATATGGTAGATATATGCAGGTAGTAGGTATATACAGGGAATATGGTAGATATATGCAGGTGGTAGGTATATACAGGGAATATGGTAGGAATATACAGGGAATATGGTAGGTATATACAGGGAATATGGTAGGTATATACAGGTGGTAGGTATATACAGGAAATATGGTAGATATATGCAGGTGGTAGGAATATACAGGGAATATGGTAGGAATATACAGGGAATATGGTAGGAATATACAGGGAATATGGTAGGAATATACAGGGAATATGGTAGGTACATACAGGGAATATGGTAGATATATGTGCAGGTGGTAGGTATATACAGGGAATATTGTAGGTATATACAGGCACTGGGATTTTGCAAGATTTCCCTGACCTGATAGAATATTTATCTTTAAGATAGTGTAGGTGTTATCAAGATCTGCAGCTCATAGAATATCAAAAACACAATTGAAAATAATTTGTTTAGTTTTTCCTTCTTGGGAATGACACCCCCTTGTCACTATAATACATATGTACCAATATATTTATAATTGATAGAAAAATGACCGTTATGTCCAATGTCCTCAGTTAAAATGGTGGGTATACGAGGAATAGAGAAGGTCATTTCATTTTTTTTCTGGACAAGTTGGTTTTTCTCTCAACAATAGATAAAAGCTAAGACCTGTATTCACAGAAAACATAAGAAAACTTGCTCAGTTCTGAAGTTGTTTATTTACATAGAAACAGCATCCGCAGCTGACTCCTACATTATATAAGGTAACTGTCATGTTATCTGTTAGTGGACAACAATTATTATTACATTCTTAACGGCCCGTAAACACAGGAAAGGTCATTAGGGCCATCAAAGGGTAGCAGTGGACAACAAACTTACAATGAGATGTTGATGTGAATTATTACCACATATAGAATAGAATACATCCCAGGAAATAGAGAGTATGGTATATATGGTACAATTTATATCATGTGATATCATCTGAACATACAGTATGATTAAAAAAACCTGGATGTTGTTTCAGGAAAAGTATACAGTATGATTAAAAAAACCTGGATGTTGTTTCAGGAAAAGTATACAGTATGATTAAAAAAACCTGGATGTTGTTTCAGGAAAAGTATATATGTACGAAGTTACAACCACGGGGTCATCAGTCAAGTTACTACAGAAACAATCCTAGGTAAGATACCATGTGTAAGACACATTCCAGGACAATTTTTCTCAAACAAAACAGATATTTAGTTGTGTATGAAATTAAAACTGTTCAGTTGAGGTGCATCCTTGACACTCCAGTGGTTATGATCACTTTAGCTCTTTTTACCCCTAGAACATTTCCTGGCCAAACTGAAGGCACCATCGAAGTAATTTGTCTAGACCAGGTTCATGAGAAATTATCACTGACTGATACACTGATTTGAAGATCACAAAGAAGTGACACCCAACTCTAAAGCCAGTCCAGCATACTGTTATGTGACCTTTAATTTCATTTGATGTACATCACAGGATCAAACTCATCTTCTCAACTTATCCACAAGGTGCCACACTTGGAACCTTCAATTTCACCTTGAAATGTTCCAGGGATGAAGAGAGTGACAGTGATTGTAACCCCTGGGTGTCAAGGATAAACATATTGCTACAGCTAAAGAATGTTTGTCCTTATTCTGTAAATATACTTTTTAGATACCAAAATCAATTTCACAAATTGAAAAAAGTAAAAGATGAAAATGAAGTTAGTCTATTAAATCACAATGGTTTGGTAGTATTATTTCATAAAGATTGCTAGAAATTATCATATCACTTACATTCCATTGTTCTCTATGTACAGGCACACATATTGTTTGACAATAGACATTGTTTTTTTTATATTATATTGTTTGACAATAGACTTTGTTTTTCTGTAACATATTGTTTGACAATAGACATTGTTTTTCTATATTGTATTGTCTGACAATAGACATTGTTTTTCTATATTATATTGTCTGACAATAGACATTGTTTTTCTATATTGTATTGTCTGACAATAGACATTGTTTTTCTATATTGTATTGTCTGACAATAGACATTGTTTTTCTATATTATATTGTCTGACAATAGACTTTGTTTTTCTATATTGTATTGTCTGACAATAGACATTGTTTTTCTATATTATATAGTTTGACAATAGACTTTGTTTTTCTGTAACATATTGCTTGACAATAGACATTGTTTTTCTATATTGTATTGTCTGACAATAGACATTGTTTTTCTATATTGTATTGTCTGACAATAGACATTGTTTTTCTATATTATATTGTTTGACAATAGACTTTGTTTTTCTGTAACATATTGTTTGACAATAGACATTGTTTTTCTATATTATATTGTCTGACAATAGACATTGTTTTTCTATATTGTATTGTCTGACAATAGACATTTTTTTCTATATTATATTGTTTGACAATAGACTTTGTTTTTCTGTAACATATTGTCTGACAATAGACATTGTTTTGTGACAGGGAGTGACAACAACTGGACACTGAAAACCGAGGTGTTCATGGACATCCCAGATGGTCAGAATACTAGTGGAAATTTGGAAATACGACTGGATGGGACACCGGTCACTCACCAAGAACCGATTAGCCTTACTAGGGATAACTGTTCAGTATCTATATCTATCGCCATCCCAAAGGTACTGTGTATAATATAATCCCAAAGGTATTGTGTATAATATAATCCCAAAGGTATGGTGTATAATATAATCCCAAAGGTATGGTGTATAATATAATCCCAAAGGTATGGTGTATAATATAATCCCAAAGGTATTGTGTATAATATAATCCCAAAGGTATGGTGTATAATATAATCCCAAAGGTATGGTGTATAATATAATCCCAAAGGTATTGTGTATGATAAAATCCCAAAGGTATGGTGTATAATATAATCCCAAAGGTATGATGTATAATAAAATCCCAAAGGTATGGTGTATAATAAAATCCCAAAGGTATTGTGTATAATATAATCCCAAAGGTATGATGTATAATAAAATCCCAAAGGTATGGTGTATAATAAAATCCCAAAGGTATTGTGTATGTATAAATAATCCCAAAGGTATGGTGTATAATATAATCCCAAAGGTATGATGTATAATAAAATCCCAAAGGTATGGTGTATAATAAAATCCCAAAGGTATTGTGTATAATATAATCCCAAAGGTATTGTGTATAATATAATCCCAAAGGTATGGTGTATAATATAATCCCAAAGGTATGGTGTATAATATAATCCCAAAGGTATTGTGTATAATATAATCCCAAAGGTATGATGTATAATAAAATCCCAAAGGTATTGTGTATAATAAAATCCCAAAGGTATGGTGTATAATATAATCCCAAAGGTATTGTGTATAATATAATCCCAAAGGTATGGTGTATAATACAATCCCAAAGGTATTGTGTATAATATAATCCCAAAGGTATGGTGTATAATATAATCCCAAAGGTATTGTGTATAATATAATCCCAAAGGTATTGTGTATAATATAATCCCAAAGGTATGGTGTATAATATAATCCCAAAGGTATGGTGTATAATAAAATCAACATTTAATGTTCAAGTATTCTCATGCCGGACCAGATCAGTGAGTGGCAAAATAAAGGATGAGAAAAATCATTTTCATCTTCAAATATTTCAAGGTGTACTTAGAAATCAACTTATGTAAACATACTTAATATGGTACAATGAAATTTCAGTGCGTTATAACTGTTAAGCAAATTAGACGAATTCATTCATTCACAATAATTGTTATATAAACAACATACAGGTACCGCTATTAGCACTGTAATATTTGATAAAAACTGCTAAGGTATTATATTTACAGTAATTTATTTGTGATCCAATGGTATAAGGTTTCTTTGCCTTACTTGGATATCAGTTTTTTCCAGACAAAAGCTTCTGTTCTCAATGGCAGATTTCAAACCGAACTGAAGGAGTATAAAATTTTGACCTCTTATATGTTCTTGTTTTTGTATCAACTGGTTTTTTTTATCATATATTTGGTGGACATTGATGCCAATTCAGTTGTGAAATGTTTGTTATGTTTATGTACAGTGTAGGGTTATATGATGATACTAAATAATTTCATATAAATTTTGTATGTAGAGTTTATATAATTTCAGTAAAGTTAAAAAGATGTACCAAGTATTTAAGATTTTTCATTACATAAAAGGTGAAGGTGTTTAAATGAAACATACAGTGTATTGTAATTAAGAAATTATTAATTATGTTAATGTGTTACAATATTGTGAAAGTGATAACTGGATCTGAGAAAGTACTTTTTTTACACTGTATATATTGATGTGGTTCTATTTAGACAGTGTCAATTGTATTTTACTGTAAAGGATACAATCTTGAATTCAGACAGTGCCCATTAAGATGTGGTGGCCAAATGGCCATGGTAACCAGACACTGTACAAGCTGTACACATTCTTCACCAGCACAAATGGGCAGGAAATGTCGGGAAAGAAAATTGATATTGGATTTAGAACTGTCGAGGTGGTACAGGACTTTGTCTCTGCCAATCAAAGCCAAGGTAAGGTTATTTGTCCGGGCTAATCAAAGTCAAAGATTGGCTATTCATCTCAGCCAATTACAGCCAAGGTAAGGTTATTCATCTCAGCCAAGTACAGCCAAGGTAAGGTTATTCATCTCAGGCAATTCAAGGCAAGGTAAGGCCATTCATCTCAGCCAAGTACAGCCAAGGTAAGATTATTTGTCCCAGTAATTCAAAGCCAAGTAAGGCTATTTTGTGCAGCTGATTAAAAACAATTTAAGGCTATATGTTTAGACCAATTGAAGTAAAGGTAGGACACTTTGTCTCAGCTGATCAGCTCCAGGATATTTGTGTTCTTAGATCAAAATCAAATTTCCTCCTGCTACCTCCAGAACAATGCTTGTTGCTGTAACAGCACCATATTGAAAGCTTGATAGAGTTTTTGTTAATTATTTAACTTGCAAACAATGCAACATTAAATTTCATTTTCATTTCATACACATATGTATCACAGCTAAATGTAAGGTACTATGCAAGACGAGAAACAAGTAAATTTGAGATGTTGAACCAAGAGTTCATCAATTCTTGAATGTTTCTTTGTAATGTTAAAACCAGACTTATAAACCTGTGCCTACACCTGTACATATTCAACAAAGCACAATAAACCTCTCGTACATAACTGACTTCACAAATTGAATCAACTGTCAGTTTACAGTTATATTAATTTTTTTTTTTTTTTTTTTCATTTTTCAGGTCGAACATTTTACTTCAGGATAAATAACAAACCGATCTATTTCAAGGGGTCTAACTGGATCCCTGCTGATGTGTTTCTGGACAGAGTTACTCCAGATTATGTTAATGAGCTGCTACAGGCTGCAGCAGATGTCAACATGAATGTGCTGCGTGTGTGGGGAGGTGGGGTAAGTGTGATGGCGGTGTAGCTAGGGAAGGTAACTCTGACTCTCACTGTGTGTAGGAGGGGTAAGTGTGATTGGAGATAAATGACTCTTGCTGTGCGGAGGTAAGGTAAATATGACTGGAGAGGTACATAGGGAAGGTAACTCTGACTCTCACTGTGTGTAGGAGGGGTAAGTGTGACTGGAGGTGTAACTAGGGGAGGTAACTCTGACTCTCACTGTGTGTAGGAGAGGTAAGTGTGACTGGAGGTGTAACTAGGGGAGGTAACTCTGACTCTCACTGTGTGTAGGAGAGGTAAGTGTGTAAAACATTCATTACATGATATGTCAAAATCATTTTGAGACATTATTCAGATCCTATATTTTTCAGTTTTTAATTACATTTTTCAATTGCTAACTGTACATAAAATGATCAGAAATTATTGATTAAAGGTGATGAGATTTCTGTGGTTGTTGGCAGGTTTATGAGATGGAGGAGCTTTATGAGGCCGCAGACCGTCTGGGAATAATGATCTGGCAGGATTTTATGTTTGGTTGTGCTATGTACCCAGTACACGAATCATTCATGGACAGTGTAGCTTCGGAAATTACATACCAGGTAATTTTATTGCCATGGAAATCTATATCACTTATTACTATAGAATCATATATTTTGGTGAAGGTCAATTTCTGTAGTTTTCAAAAAAATCACTGTGGACACTTGATTTCATGGACACATACAGATCAGTACATCAACTCATACTAATACTAATAGTACTCACAAAATTAACAAAAGTAAATCCCCCTTAGAACTTATAGTTTCTTCAATATCTTACGTTCTCGTTTTTGCTCAGTTGAAAGAAAGAATAAGGTAACCTACAGATTCACAGAACCAAGGTGGTCATTGTTACTATAAATAGAACTTACTATATGTATATTGTGTTCCTTACCAAATTAATTCGATATCATGAGTGATAGTTTCAGGTTCACAGTAACATTTTGATTTTAGGTTCGGAGATTGAAACACCATCCTTCTATTGTGATCTGGAGTGGAAATAATGAGAATGAGAAAGCCCTGATCCAGAGTTGGTATGTTCTGTATTAATGTCATCTGTTGTCATCCTCACCATTCACGATTTACATAAGTTACAATTTCTGTGCTACAGTTGTATAGATCTTATTAGAATGGAAGTTCTAAAACACAACCAGTAGAAGATTAGAGTGTTGTGTTTCGATTACCATTTAATCATGACAAACAATGATGGGAGTCCCAAAGAATCTTTGATTTTTCTATGAAAAAAAATCTTGAAAACCCTATAGCTGCGTAACGTGCACACACCCCACATTGGACATTTATTAAAAAAAAAACTGTGTTTTTAAAGTACTACACAGTCATCTTCATCAGAAAATTACCAGTGGGGAGTGTACTAGCACTGACGTACTTAGTGTGCGAGATGGTAGTAATATAATCCTATGTGCACTTAAGGTCGAAAATAGTGTGATGAGATGGTAAATACATTATAGACTAGTGCTAGTACACTCCACGGTGGTCATTAATCTGATGAAGGTGACCATGTAGTCACAATCCAATTTTTTACTGGTTGTTTTATAAGAACTTCTATTCTATAAAAATTACCAACCTGAAGAAAATGCAGTATACTTGTCAGTTGTCATACACCCTAGAGGTATGTCAACTGTCAAGAATATTTTACATTGTTTTTCCCTATACAAAGTATATTTTGACAGCAGTTAATCATGTATTAGGAATGAATACATCCGATATTTTATACCACAAGTTCTATTTTGTTTTCTAACTTTACAGGAATGTTGAATTGTGTACACAGTAGTTTGTAAGCATCATTTCCTTTTTCCTTGATTCTACAGGTACAACACAGACGCTAACTTTACACGCTACAAAAGTGATTACTTAACTTTATATAAAGGCCTCATGGCTCCCCTGGTAGCCAGAGAGGATTCTAGTCGTCCGTTCATCCTGTCTAGCCCGGGGAACGGTGTAGAAAGTCTACAAGAAGGGGGCGTGGCCACTGAACCTTGGAGTGAGCTATACGGTGACAGTATGTATGACACATGGTTTTGTCGGCATTAACCTACCACACACAGTAGGTTATGTCAACAGAACAAAGGCTGAAGAACACTTGTTTATCTTACCTAAGTTTTGTTCATTTCCTCTCGTTACAAGTATAAAGAGAGGTACAGTACCTGACCTGGTATTATAAGAATGAGTGCTGCCAATGTAAATCACATTTAGAAAGATAGGTAAGAACCATAATGGTTATACAAATGAGATGAGCCACAAGCATTAGCTCTGTGTTAGCTAAAGTATGCAAATGAGTATGAGCTCTGTGTTAGATAAAGTATGCAAATGAGATGAGCTACAGGCATGAGCTCTGTGTTAGCTAAAGACAAGCTCTGTATTAGATCACCTGATTGATCTGTCATTTTTCTGAAAACTACCAAACAGTCATTTGACTCCTGGGAAGTTGAGATTCACAACTTGTTCTTTCTAATAGTCAGCATAATTTCATTATCATTGTCAACCACAGGGGCTTGGCACGAATTATCAAAACAGGGTCCCTGTATTTAAGTGTCTGTAATACATGTATATGGACCTTGGGGTTGGGACTTTGTGCCAAGTTCTTGTGTTGTCAACCCCAAAGGAATTTAGTAAGAATTCTCAAGCCTGCTATTAGTATATCTATATACATGTATTATTTTGCCAAGTTCCTGCTGAAGACCACTAGAATATTTTGTTTTAAGAATCTATTTTGTAAATAATTGTAAATAAATTCTTCCGTTTCAGTCCACGAGTATAAGTACTTGTTGCCATTTTACTTGGACGGAACATACAGAATACCACGATTTTCCTCCGAGTACGGCCTCCAGGCATACCCCTCCTATGAAACACTGAAGAAAGTGTATGCCCCTGAGGACCTTACATACTGGTCTGACCTGAATGACTACAGACAGCATCACCCAGCTGGTGTGTATTACCTGTCAATTTATTTATTTTCATGGGACTCAAATTTCATCATTGTCTAAAGAAAAAAAACACTGTCGTTGTGGGCACTTGATTTTGTGCTGAAACAACAATCATGAAGCCAACTACTGATAATTTAAATTTTTAAAATTTAATTAATTTGTGGATGTATAAATCTGTGCATTATTAAAGAGTACACACAAAATTAATAAATGGAAATCCCCCAAAAATCAATGATTTTTGTATATGGGCAGCAGTGTTATCAATTATAGTATGTCATTACAAAAAAAAACAACTGTTTTGAATATAAGAATATGATATGCAGGACTGATAACTTTTTCATCTCATTTAAACTTTTTGCAGGTAATGTTGAGTTGATGGCTGAAATCAGTATGCTGTTCACTCTCCCAAATAGCACTGACCCGAATCAGAGATTTAAAGATAGCATTTATCTTACACAGGTAAGTTGTGATAGCTGGTCAAAGCATTGCATTCTTATGTCTAAGTAATTTTACAAATGATTTTTCACTATTAACCAGGTCAGTGTCTGTCTAGATATACTGACACCCAGGTCATTGTCTGTCTAGATATACTGACACCCAGGTCATTGTCTGTCTAGATATACTGACACCCAGGTCAGTTTCTGTCTAGATATACTGACACCCAGGTCATTGTCTGTCTAGATATACTGACACCCAGGTCATTGTCTGTCTAGATATACTGACACCCAGGTCAGTTTCTGTCTAGATATACTGACACCCAGGTCATTGTCTGTCTAGATATACTGACACCCAGGTCATTGTCTGTCTAGATATACTGACACCCAGGTCATTGTCTGTCTAGATTTACTGACACCCAGGTCAGTGTCTGTCTAGAGTTACTGACACCCAGGTCAGTGTCTGTCTAGTACTGACACCCAGTCAGTTTCTGTCTAGATATACTGACACCCAGGTCATTGTCTGTCTAGATATACTGACACCCAGGTCATTGTCTGTCTAGATATACTGACACCCAGGTCATTGTCTGTCTAGATTTACTGACACCCAGGTCAGTGTCTGTCTAGAGTTACTGACACCCAGGTCAGTGTCTGTCTAGAGTTATTGACACCCAGGTCAGTGTCTGTCTAGATATACTGACACCCAGGTCAGTGTCTGTCTAGATATACTGACACCCAGGTCAGTGTCTGTCTAGAGTTACTGACACCCAGGTCAGTGTCTGTCTAGAGTTACTGACACCCAGGTCATTGTTTGTCTAGATATACTGACACCCAGGTCATTGTCTGTCTAGATTTACTGACACCCAGGTCAGTGTCTGTCTAGATATACTGACACCCAGGTCATTGTCTGTCTAGATATACTGACACCCAGGTCAGTGTCTGTCTAGATATACTGACACCCAGGTCAGTGTCTGTCTAGATTTACTGACACCCAGGTCAGTGTCTGTCTAGATTTACTGACACCCAGGTCAGTGTCTGTCTAGATTTACTGACACCCAGGTCATTGTCTGTCTAGATATACTGACACCCAGGTCAGTGTCTGTCTAGATTTACTGACACCCAGGTCATTGTCTGTCTAGATTTACTGACACCCAGGTCAGTGTCTGTCTAGATTTACTGACACCCAGGTCAGTGTCTGTCTAGAGTTACTGACACCCAGGTCAGTGTCTGTCTAGAGTTACTGACACCCAGGTCATTGTCTGTCTAGATATACTGACACCCAGGTCATTGTCTGTCTAGATTTACTGACACCCAGGTCAGTGTCTGTCTAGATATACTGACACCCAGGTCAGTGTCTGTCTAGATATACTGACACCCAGGTCAGTGTCTGTCTAGATTTACTGACACCCAGGTCAGTGTCTGTCTAGATTTACTGACACCCAGGTCATTGTCTGTCTAGAGTTACTGACACCCAGGTCAGTGTCTGTCTAGATTTACTGACACCCAGGTCAGTGTCTGTCTAGAGTTACTGACACCCAGGTCAGTGTCTGTCTAGATTTACTGACACCCAGGTCAGTGTCTGTCTAGTTATACTGACACCCAGGTCAGTCTGTCTAGAGTTACTGACACCCAGGTCAGTGTCTGTCTAGATATACTGATTTAATTGTTTTGATGCTATTTCACTGTTGTATTTGATTGATAATTATTGGTTTGATTCTGATTCTGTGTTCTGGTAATGGTTTCTTATTTAAACAATAATAATAATCAAACCCATTCCTTTTTAAATTGAAGAATAAAGATTTGAAAAATAAAAATGAAATTATCAATGTGATGAAAATTTTGTAACGATTTTTGTGCCCTGACATTAAATCTTGTACATGAATATCATCAATAATACTACATACATAACTGAATACCTGATAAAAAGGTTACTGTGACAGTGTACTGATATCTAATGGCACTTTATGATTGATATACAGATAACTCAGGCTGTTGGTATAAAAGCAGAGACAGAACATTATCGTCGATGGCAGAATCGTCTGGATGAGTCTGGGCGAGGCAACACCATGGGTGCCATGTACTGGCAGCTGAATGATATCTGGCAGGCACCAACATGGGCTTCTTTAGGTTTGTCATATACCTCAGACAATCCTCACTGATAAGGACAAACTTTACACATTTTCTGAAAAGTTACGTTTCATCTGATGTTTAATTTGCCTTGTCCTCTCAAAACAAATATTAGGCAGAGACTTTGGATGAAGAATAAAACAAATTTTATACTAGATATTATAGCCTTTGTGGTTTGAATGTAGACAAATGCATATATCAGATCCAGTTTCTACTGCCTTGTGCGGAATATCCAGTCCACATATATCTACTGTATACATATGGCTGACATTATTCCTTATCTTTACCATGGGAAATGTATTCTACTATAGGTTAAATATAAGTATTTTGTTCCAGAATATGGTGGACAGTGGAAAATGCTGCATTATTTTGCTCGACATTTCTTTGCGCCACTTCTTATCTCCCCTTACATGGACGGCGATGATGTCTATGTGTATCTAGTAGCAGACCATATCCCAGTGGTGGAGGATCGTCATCCTGACACACATCGTCTAACTTTCCGTCCCGACTACAGGCAGGTCATAGGTTGATTATAGAATCAGACTTACTGAATCATTCAACTACAAGTGGATTCAACTTGACAACAGATTTCTTTAACTTTTCCTTAAATACAAAATTTGAAGTATAGTTCCAACTAATTTAGAGTTAGGTGACAATCTGAATACAAATTCTGACATCTGACCTAGCAATAGGCTAGGCTATATTTATTGGCCTTAAACTTAAAACTGGAACTTTTAACAAAAATAACATCATTTATCTTTCATTAATCCTGAAGCAACAACACATAAACACTGAAACATTGTCTACATTGGATGTTATGCACAACCTTGCAAAAATTTCTTGAAAGTCTCAATCTCCATTGGAATATTTTACATACCTACTGGTATAACAGGTAGGTAGTACTTAAATTTGTAATGAGCTTTTTGTATTAAATCTGTTCACAGCACTGGACTAGGAAAGGTGCGTGGGCTGGGTCTTTCGGGACAACTACACATAGTCATGTACTCCTGGAATAACTCTACCCCTCTTCATAGTTGGGTACAACAGTACTCGGTAAGTCATCTCAAAATTTGTTTGCTGGCATCCATAATAATTATTGCTTATTGTTGCCAGAATACGTAACTTTTTACTCTATGTTCCAGTAAATGTGAATAGATTACAGAAATGTAGAACTCATGGTTTTCAGAATGATCACCCATGTGTTTGAATTCTAGTTGGTACTCCTTTAAATGTCTGAGGGATTTATGTGTCCAAAATTCTCTTCTACAATGAAATTTGTGAACTGATTTTTTTCAGTTGAATGAAACATCTGAGCTGGTCTTCCATAACAATACCCTCGATATGATGAAAGAAGCAGGTTGTATTCAAGGGAAAAACTTCTGCTTCCTGTTTTTCCATCTTGGGGACCCTGGCAATGAACCTGTTGCTTGGCAACCACTCACTGAATACAAAAGTGTTGTTGGACTCAAAAATTCTGTTGTACAGGTAAGCTTTGTCTCCTACTTATTGATTTTGTGCTGTTCATCTGACTGAAATCTTTCCATTCTCTTCTGCCTGAATTTGGTACATATTACTTGTGCGAGAAGGATCAACCACATGCTTTCAGGTTAGTTGGTCAAAGGCCATGTGGTCTGTTACTAAAAATAGAATTACAGTAAACTTTTTTCCATCCAATAGCTTCTGTTCTCATGGGCGAATTATGACCATATTTGGTAAATAGGTAGCAGGTGTGATGTAGTGGCACAGGAATGTGATTGAGGTCTTTTTGGTTGATCATGCCCACATTTGGTACACAGGATGCTTATGTAAAAAGGGAGATTGCTTTTCAGATTTGTAATTTGTAGGTTTTGTCATCACTGTGTATGTTTCCTCACTGTCACTATGTATTAACCCCAACAACTGTTTCAAAATGTGTAAACAAAATTAACTAGACCAATGTCGAGGAAGGGCCCCGCATAATACCTACCCCTTATGATTGAGTTTCTTAATATTAAGAAATATTGAAAAATGGTAATAGCAGTATGTAAATAATTGAAAATGGTATGAATTTCATGGCAAGAATTGAAAACAAAAACTGCAGGTACATATGTGAAGACATAGCAATTTTGGTTGTTTTAATGAGTGTTAGGTCAACAAGTGAATCGGACAGACAACTTATGGACAGGTGTCAAGTATTGAAAGCAACTTTCATCAAAATCCAATGAAAATGGACAGATGGACAGATATATGGATCGACGGACAGGGAAACGGACGGACAGACAGACGGACAGGGTGAACATTGAACTCGAATGAGGGGCTTATGTACCAAGTATCACAAAGCAAGTTTTAAAGAAATCCCAAATCATTCCTTCAGAAGATATTCTCTGTAAAACATTCAGCCAATCAGATTGCAGCAGCGGAATTCGGCAAACATCGAACTTGAGCGAGGGACTTATGTACCAAGTATCATAAGCGAGTTTCATCGAAATCCCATCATTCCTTCTCAAGATATCGCGTGGAAAGCGAAACCGACAGACATGTAAAACATTCAGCCAATCAGATTGCAGCAGCCTCATTAAACATGCGCGGAATTTGGTGAACATCAAACTTGAGCAAGGGACTTATGTACCAAGTATCATAAGCATGTTTCATCGAAATCCCATCATTCCTTCTCAAGATATCGCGCGGAAAGCGAAACCGACAGACATGTAAAACATTCAGCCAATCAGATTGCAGCAGCCTCATTAAATATGCGCGGAATTTGGCGAACATCGAACTTGAGCGAGGGACTTATGTACCAAGTATCATAAGCAAGTTTCATCGAAATCTCATCATTCCTTCTCAAGATATCGTGCGGAAAGTGAAACGGACAGACAGACAGACGGCGAGACAGACGGACAGACGGACAAGGTGATTACTATAGGGCACCCGCATCGCGATGCGGGGCCCTAATTAAAACTCAAAATTCATGAAACAAGAGTAAAATATCAAAAGAGAAATTATCCATTTATAGAGACCGTTAACATAGTGCAACATAAAAAGAGAAGTTCTAGAATAGTAGAAACCTTTGTCAAATCTAAGAAATGTCAGGTTCTCCAAGAAAGAACTTGGTTTAACATACTATAATACCTGTAATAGAGACGTGTTAGATATATTATTATACAATAGATATTGTTTCTACAGGTTGTAGATGTGCAGCAGACCACGACAGATAAACAGGTGTACAACATCACTGTAACAGCAGGCTCTATTTCTGTATTTGTTTGGTTGGATGCTCACGACATTAGAGGCAGGTTTTCAGACAATGGCTTTCTGATGGTCACTTCCAAGAAATTAGTGCAGTTTTATGCAAGTGAACCTACCGACGTATCCTCTCTCCGAATCGCGCTAACAGTGAGATCTCTGGCTGATGTCTATCATTGAACAATTAAAGATGTACCACATCAGTGCACATTAAACAATGTTGTTAATCAATACTCCAAATAAGTTTTATGCTTTTGGTTAAAATTTCATTTTAATCACAGAGACTAATATACCGTGGGGTATATATATATATTTTTGTAAAACCATTCAAAGCTGTCTTGGCAGCAGCAGTGCCTTTGAGCATCATGTAACTTTTATTGTTTAGTAATTTTCAAAATCATTTCTAAAAGCTTTATTTGAAGAAAAGACGTTTTGAAACACATCTATGTCTACCCATCTTAATGTAGATTTTCTGGTTCTCATTCTGGTAATTAGTTCACAGTGGCCTACTCACTCCAAGGTCAAACAAGAACACAATTTTCTATGGTGTTAGACTGGGAACGCTTGATGTCAAAGTCACATAAAACCGACAAGCATAACACATTGTGTGTACCCCACAAGTGTTAGTGGTAATTATTTCAACAACATCAATTTTATTCGTTATTCATTTTCTGTGCAATATACAATTTTGTAAGGTGCTAAAGGCCTCCTACCTGCAGCCCAAAATGTGTTTATAATTATTGATATTTACATATGACATAACCTTCCATTCATCGTATCAATTTCTGTATTGAAATATAGGAACATTTGTGTTTGTTTGTTAATCATTACATGTAATTATCTTTTGTTATGAATTTTAATTCCACTTTTTAAAATCTTATTGTTTTTAAATAAAAAAACAAATGTATTTTGTATTAATTTTTATCAGGCTTACTGATAGTCTTTTGTATATTTTGTTTATAAATGATATCAGACAGAATAGGAAGTTGATCATCTATCCTGTTTATTGTTGTCATAGTGATGACATTCTTAATGAAATCAGACATTTTGTTATGCATTGATTCTTACATTATAATGATGTATTTGAAATTGTTGAATTTAGAAATAAAAAAATTGATAAGAGTGGATTTTTTATTTATTTTTGTAGCACTGTGTTCTTAGAGTATTTGTTTAGAGGGAGACATTTGCCACAGTGTAACTTTCACCTATCTCTTTCGTCATTATGGTGAAATCAACAAGTTTGTTGAAGACCGAGATTAAAGGTCAAATTTGTTTGTTTGTTACTTTTGAGCAAATTCAAAACTATGGAGAAACAAGAGTATACCTCAGGGTGGAACATTATATGCCCGTCACATACCCAAAAAACATTCAGCATTTGTTGTATCAAAAAGAATATGAATATCGATGTGGTGATAATGAAACAAATTGTGAAGAGCGCTGTATGTTTTAATCACAAATCAAATAAAGTTTTATGGAGATGTGTGGAAAACTAAAAGAAATCTGAACAAGATTAAAATTGTGAAAAAAAAACACAACAACTTTTGGAAATATGCTCAAATCAAACTGCTGTCCACAAGAACACCATGTCATGTTATGATTTTCAAGACAACCAAAAAAAAAGTTAAAAACAAGAAGCCCGGGCACCTTAATGGTTACCTATGTCACTATGGTTCTTTTAACCTATCACAGACATGATTTTCTTAAAAGAAGTGATATAACTTTATTGTACACGTAATGTAAATGTAAATTGTATCTACATTAACCGAATTTCCTACATAAAATCTCCCACCCAGAAACAGTAGAACATCTTTGAAATTCAAGTCAATTTGATCCATTTTTAGCCCTGCCAATCAGCCCCTGGTGGTCAGTCAAGGTCAATATGTGCATCTTCAAACAGTCAGCTTATACTAATAAAAAATAAATTCTAACCAAGTATTAACTATTTTTGAAAGAAAATTAACAAATTATGCTCAAAAAAGTAATTTTCCTGTGTAAAATATATTTAATTTGACCCCCTCCACTGGGGGAAATGTGAAACCATGGGGCCATGGAATTTACAATTTTTATAAAGCATCGTAAGACACTTCCTTCCATGAAAAGTACATTATCTGGGTATTGAAAAGAAGATATTTGAAATTTCAGTCAATTTGACCCATTTTTGGCCCTGCCCATCAGCTCCTGGGGGTAAGTAAATTTTACCCCCTCCACAGAGGGAAATTCGAGACCCTGGAGTCATGAAATTTACAACTCTGATAAAGCATCTGAAGGCCTTTCTACCAAAGAAGAATACTTGATTCTACCATTACAGGGATTTGAGAAGAAGATTTTTGAAGTTTCAATTAATTTGATACTTTTGGGCCCACTCCTCAGGCCCCTGGGGTTTGGGGACCATATAACTCAGAATTTTGGTGCATTTTAAGCCATTGAAGGTTTTTGTAAAATTTCATTGAAATCGGTTCAGGAGTTTTCCAGAATAAATCAAAGATGTTAAAAGTTTACAACACACACGCACAACACCACACAAAAGGGGATTGCAATAGGTCATCTAAAACCCCTAGTAAAATTTTACATAGGTAGGATGCAGGTACGTAGGAGCACCGGAATAAGATAACACAACAGATCATTTTAGTTTTTATTGAACATTAAAAAGGCTGAGAAAAATGGATTTGATATACAAGAAAGCTCAAATGGTCTTATAAATTCTAAGTTTACAATCATTATATATTTCAACTTTAATACCAATATATCAGAATGTGAAAAATCTACTGTGCAATTGAAAAGAATCTTAATATTATATTTAATAATAATTGTAAATGACGTAGACAATATTTACCCGAAAAACTGCAAATTTTTGTAAAGCAATATTGTAAGCAGTAAAATGTATTCCCTGCAGTGCATCAAAACTGTTGTATCATTTTTATGTATGGATTAACAATGTCCAGTAATGTAAAAAAAAAAAAAAATCCAAGCCTGCGTTATTGAAATGTATCATTTTGGATTCGTAAACAAACACATGATTCCGCATATAAACATTTTCCATAAGTCATGATAATGTCTATGATTAGAAATGAAATTTTATATCATTTGAGACAAGAAAACATTCATTATCATGAATCAGGATTTTAACTCCATGAATTGTCATCTTGATGTTATTCTGTAAACTGATATTTTTATGATTCTGTGAATAGCGATAATCTTGTGATTCTGTGAATTGCAACATTATTGTGTTTATGTGAATCCTAATATTATTCTTAAGGTTCTGTGATTATGATATTATTGTGATTCTGTGAATTGCAATATTCTTGTGACTGTGAATTGCGATGTTTCTGTAGTCATGTATAAATAAGATCTTCTACTAATATGAAATGATTTTCTTAAAAGATATGAAATATCTATGTATAAACATACATTTGATAAAACCGGTTTACTTTCATGTTTCTATAGGGAGTGTTACCCCCTTGGATTGCAGTGCTATCTGATCATTGACCTTACACAAGGTCAACATTACACAGGCCTTACAAACTAATAGAGCATAACGAATTCACACTTAACAATTCTGTAAACATATCACAAGACAAAAGAATTGATTACAACTAATAGGCAAGTACAGAAACATTGACTAAAAAATTGTACTAAATAAAAGACACAGCAGTAACATCAAAATTTACTATAGGCCCGTAAATAAAACCATTATTAGCGGTAACATAAATAAAGTCTGGTATGTATTGTAGAGCACAGTTAGTAATCTCCACATATAATCTGTATTCTATAAATTAACACTGTTTTCTGAAAACACAGATACTGTATATTATCAACAGAGAATAATATGTTTATACAGATTGGTGTTAATCTACATATATATTCTTATTTTAATTGTATAACATGTTCAGAAGCATACACATTACATATAATATACATAAGTAATTTATTATCATCAGTGTAATCAAAGGAATTAATTTTGTCCCCACAGATTGCAACATAAACCTTTGTAGATGTATGAGGTAACCATTCAGCATTATCTAAAGCGATATAGATCTGTTTTACGTACTGGCAGGATTGTCCTATATAAACAACTCCAACATCAATTACAACACAATACAATTAGACATTATTTATCAACACCTGAGATATATGTCTTCCATCATTCTCTATATTTATAACCTAGTTGTGTTAAACCTGATCAAAGGCCTCTACATAACTCGGGCTACTTGGCCATAACCCTCTCTCTATTACCATTTTCATGGATTTAAGTTATTTATAAAATCTGTTCAATTATCTGAAAACAGGCTACAGCTTTTGTCATTCTAATAGTAAATTGAGAACCAAATTTTCATGGTCAAACTACATTTATTTTGGAAACTACCCAAATCTGGAAAGAAGATTCTGAGAAAATTTCCGCAGTACGTTCAAAGACACTAGTCTTCATCAGACAATTACATAAACAATAGACAATAATCAGTAAAAAAAGGCAACATTCAAAGTCAAAACTTTTCTATAATAATTATAACATTTACATGTACATGAATGTTTACTGCATCCTTTTACTCAATAACTCGAAACTTGATCACTAAGTTTATAACACTACGAAAGAGAGTACGAGATCTATTGGTGAATGAATGAGGCATATAATTAATCCATTTAATTAATGCTTGTCGTCTAGCTTGTTCATTTCTTAAATGACTCATTAGGAGAAGAGTGGTCAGTTGATTCAAATATATCAAACATTTGTTTTGTGTTTGTGAAATGCTTTCAAAACTTAAAAGGGGCTCACTTAGTGTTCTGAAATCATATATCCTTGTTACAGAAACAGTGTCATTGGTTAAGACTCTGCAGAAGTTATTTGGCAGTTTGATACTGTGTAGTTTAACTATGACAAAGCCATATACATTAAAAAGCAGTCTTCTCTAACAATCTACAGGCAAAATACCACTATGGGCATAGGACTTGGAAAGTGTGCTAAAGAGATTTACATTTGAGTTTATAAAAGAGTTAAAACACATCATACATCATCACAAACATCTGAGCTTACCCATACAAATGTAATAAATATCAGAGGATATTAAAGATCATACCTTTACAATCTATTCTATTCACAATATTCTGTACGGTTTAAATGTCCCTTAGAACCCTTCTGTCTGGAAAGAACAAAACATTTCACACAACCATTGTGCCACCAGTTTTGCACTTTGCTGCGAAATCAAGAACACAGATAAAGAAACTTCCACACAACATTTCATCATTTATTTTTTCACCAGATTTATCAATAGTTTTTATGACATACATATTCAAATGAATATTTATTCATGTCTTTTTATGTGCATGTAATATGCACAGATATTCATTTTCATGAAAGTAAGGCGATTTTATTACAAATCTACCAAACAGTGACTTTAACTGCATCCAATTTCCACAACTGAAACAGAAGAAATGAGATGATTTACAATGCCTATATCTACCCTGGACGGTGGTCAGGATTCACCTCATACAGTTTTAGAAAATAGAAGAATCTTGTAACTTTACAGAGAACAGGTAGGGCTCTAGCAATTTGTTGCTTCCAAACAATTATGTTAATCTTCTCTTTCAATGAATTTTAATAAAGAACATTTTCAATAACAGAAAACATGAACAAAAACCAAAAGGAAAATTTAAAAAAAACACAAGGAAAGCAAACGCAGATGATTTAGAAAAAGACGACTTCCTACACAACAGATTGAAAAACAAAACAATAGTAACAAGGTATAACGATCTGGAATGCCAACTTCAGTTCTTATACAACAAAGCACAAACAATGACTTCAGTGATTCTCCTTTCAATACTTTTAAAGCTAACTGACGATATTGCAATTAAGACATAAAATTTGCGTACAGCATTCTCCGTGAAGCACTTTTTCCAATAAAGCACAGAGGTTATTAAAACGACAATTAAAGAGCCTTTAGTCAGTAAGGACAAAAAATGAGACATTTATTGTAGGACAATGATATCACAACAAACGGTGACATCACAACAAACGTCAACGAAGTGGGAGACTACCTGTAACTGATTACCTCCCCTTATAAAATATCTACATGCTAACCTCTGCTATGATCATTGACAAAGTGATAAGTAATATATTAACATATACCATAGGTCTGTCTAAATAACGTTATGTAGCACTACTAAGCATGATTTGTTTATCAATCATAGACCTTTTTTTACTGGAATAGACATTAACATCTTTCAATGTGATTTTGTAGAATTTTTCATTTTAAAGAAGACAACAACTTCAAAATGTTTTTTATACTGTTCCTTACAGTCACATAAAACAATGAAACAAGATGGCAATCTTGATGCAAAGGGAGGTAATCTTATAATGTTTCATCAAAGTGCAAACAAATACAGGAATGTAATATCAAAGAAATTGAGGAAATATTTAAACAGTTTTCCAAAACAAATAGATCAGTAAGTAAAATACAACCAGCACATCACTTAATTTATAGCACTTAGGAGGCAACAGAATTCAGTTTTTTTTTTTTCAAATTCTGCAAACAAACAAAATGGCTTTCAAATTGAAAAGAAGTGTTTGATATTTTTTTAATCTGAAGACCAAGAATACCTGTTATATTGAAATTAAATGTGAAATTCAGATGGTTTTAAACTCCAGATGAAAGGCTTTTTTTGTGCAATGTTAGAAGAAAACAAATTAAAAAAAAACATCAAAATGGGCAAAATTAAAACAAAAGTAAAACAAAAAATGAAAGAACATTGATTTTTAAAGTAATTTGACATTTTACAATACAAGTGCCTGGTTTTTTTTAAACAAAAAGCACAATTACTATAGAAATTTAGAAAAACACATCAAATTTATGTCTAAGGGTACAAAGGCCTACAAAGTCAATATATATATATGACATTTAAACCTAAACTGAAATATTTAGAGCAAGTTCACATCACAAGGAACAAAATGTGGAAATGATAAAAAAATCAAGTCAGTACATTATCACTTTAAGGGAAGCAATACATCTCACAAATGTAATTATGTCATTACTTTGATATGAAACATTAAATAAAATTTACAAGGTCCCTTACTTATGGTTTTGCTTCAGTATAATAGAGATGGCATCAACTCTGAACTGGCTGTTAATATGGAAATAGTCTACTAAAACCTGACCTGTATAAGACCTTTATCAATCAGATATACTTCCAACAGTACCATGATCAATACTAGATGTACAGGTTATCATTTATGTCACACAGAGAAGAAGAGTCAATTGATTTTAAACTACATCTGAGGTGGTCTAGTTTCCTATCACCTCCACTCATCTTTTCAGTGATGTCCAGATCATGGGTAAATTTCAGAACCAGCAGAATAGCCAGATCTAATTAAACATCTTTTTTTCCCACTCTGTAGCAGAAAAGCCTGATCTAATTAAACGTCTCTGTATTTTGCTTTGTACCAGAACAACCCAATCTAACTAGACATCTTTAAATCTCACTATGTAGCAAAACAGTCACATAACCATTCATCTTACTGAAAACTAGGCACTATTTGATCCTATTCAACAAGTAAGCAAATTAGTGTGTATAAAAGTGTTTTAGGCCAGAAGTTATCAAATTTGAGAAATTAGAAACCTTCAATCATCATCACATATGCCTAGAAAATAACAGGAAAAGATAAGGAAGATAACTGACGTTACAGTTCAGTGGTTTGGTACAGCATCGGTGGCCTAGTAACTTAATCTACATTCAGAAACAAACACCTGTTTGTTATTGATAACATTCTATATAAATATTTCTATGATTAAAGTTGACACTGACATTTCTATAATACCTACTATATCAAACAATAAACTGAGAATAATGCTTTGATAAGAAGAAAACTACAAACAGCTAAATAATAATTACCAGCTAAATTATCAGCATTTTTTTTTTACATCATTTGCTAATTATTAACTTAAGACAAACTACATTGGGTGGTAAGTATTTCTGGAATTGTAACTGAAATCTTAGCAATGTATTTTGCTGTTCACCTGTGCCAGTCAGTACCATAGCATATTTAGGGCCAATTATTTAAAACTAGCTAAACAAACCTAAAAAGCCCTGCTCAGACAAGGACCTATCACATCACTTTTCATTCAGTACCACAAATCCAGATATTTCGAAGAATAAACATCTTGTTAGTATCACCTTTTCAATAATACATGCGTTTCATTGTACATCGTAATTAATTTTGAATATATTTTGATCGTAAGAATATTTTTAAAATTGACATTACTTCCACAGGGTATGTTCATATATTTTTACTTAACCAGCATTCAGATTCCTTGATCAACAAAATTGGAATATCAAATTTGATACAGCTCAGTAATTAGAAACTGGCAACTGATGAGAATTCAACGAAAACATCCTTTTATTACTTGAGGTAAATGTCATGGTTAGGACATCGTCACTGATATCATGTCTTTTGTTACAGCCCAGTCTCACTGAAGCATATTTTGTACCTTTGTTAAATGTAAAAAAAAAAAATGTCCTATAATAAATCTGACACAGGGATATTGAATTTTCCAATTTGGAAAGAGCTCTTTCAGAATATGTTTGGAGTTGACATCAAAGAGACTGATGTGTAATGGCAGGTAATACTCCGGTTGAGCCAGAATCTCTCGTCATATCACAGTAGTTATCCTCATTCCTCCAGGACAGTCCTACCCTGACTTAACACCAAGGGCATCACGTGAGTGCTCATACACCACGTAACTTATACTAACAGCAGGTATAACCTTCATAAAGTTGGGAGCCAGACCACGATAAAGTCCAAAGAATCCATCCTGTTTCACAATCTTCTTGAACATACTGGATAACGTGTCCTGTCCTTTTGCTCCTAAAAAATTAAATTAAGCAAAAATATTACATAACGAGAGACTCTAGGGGGATTTGATGATGATGGGCTAATTACATTACATGTTACATATGAGACAATTTTCAAATGGTTCAGGTTGGGGGCCGCATGGTTGGGGGCTGTATCAATTATCTCAAAAATCTACTGGTTAACTGGATCTTATAATGTTTAATTTTGCCAGGCTACTATTTCACAGTTCTCCTGATTGGGCTAGTTTAAGCATATCACAGTTTATGCATATCTATGAAGTGGTGTTTGCTGGAGATACACCATGTATGATTGCATGGGAATTAGTGAGAAGACCAGAGACTGTTATACACTAGAAGTACCTGACATGGTATTACTGACCTTGAGCCTGTAATTTGGTGCGGATAAGTGCAAGAGGATAGCTAGACAGCTGACCACACGTAGAACTAATTGTCCCACAACCAAGCAAAGCAAGAATTCCAGGGTCTTGGCCATTGGTCCTCTGTCGGTACATCTTCTTCAATGTCTGAAATTCATTGCCAATAGAAATCACTTTAAACATATTTTGTGTCATCATCTTGTATAACAACAATACTTACTTATATCAGCTATACAGCTATAACACATAGAATCAAATTAACAAACATAAACTTTCCATGTCTTTTACAATTTAAACTGATATAAATACTAACTAGACAAGGCATTGTTTGCTTTATATAATCTATGACAACCTGATGACAAAGTTTACCTCATATACAGCTAAGTCTATACCAGCATATGGTATAATTCCAATGATATTTGGCACATATCCTCTGTAGAACATTCTAATTCCTTCATTCTTATAAACCTTCATAGCACAGTCAAATATTCCATTAAACTGGCCGGTCTTCCTCAAAGCTAATCGCGTCTTCAACACCTGAAATATAATATAAACTGGTCAACCACAATTTTCAAATAGTTCGGAGATAACGGTAAATACCATGGAAAGTGGTCAGGGAAATTTCTACCATGTGTGTAAAACAGTGGAACGGAATCAGGAACATTACATAATATAAACACAAAAATGAGAGAAAAGAAAAGTCCATTTCACGATTTCCAAGAAATACACACCATCCTTTTTGCATTTAGGTGTTGTTAAAGCTGCAATTATTTGAACAATGAAAGAAAATATCCCTGACGGTATGTAGAGAGTACCTAACTTACCTCCATTGGGTAGATGGCTGTCTGTGATATACATCCAGCTAGGGAACCAGAACACAGGCGTTCCAGGACATTCAGTTCCTTCTTTTGGTCTGCGCCCCGAAAATACGCTTTTATCTGAACAAACATATTACACATTAAATTTCCTTTACAATTCTGAAATGATTTCTCTATTTACGTGAATCAAGAAAATATTTACAAAATATATGCCAAACCTTTGCTTCTGTCGATGCTTACAGGGCTCTCGATCTGCAAGATTTGGGGCCGATTTCCCAATGCAAAATAGTATCTTGTTTTCCTAATTCAGACCCCAAGTTTTCCCAATTCTAGGGAAAACGCTGCTATTTTCCCAATTTTAAGGGCCCTGGGCCCCAGTCCCAAAATGGGGTGTGAGAGCCCTGGCTTAATACAAAATTTAACCAAAGAAATAGAATTATTGAAATTTAAAAAACTGCTTAGGTGTTTATTTTCACTGTATTGAACCTTGATAATTTTCTTTATACAAAAGGGTCAACGGGCCTGCAGTGCTCACTCAAACCAAATATCCTACAACTAGGCCTTTCAATTCTTGAGAAGTCGGTTAAATGTGTTAAGTAATTTGACCCCTGTGACCTTAAACATGATTCAAGAATATTTCTTTTTTTGCAAACACTGTGATGCTTCATCCTAGGAACATACCAGCCAAATATGCCTCTAGGCCTTTTAGTTCATGAGAAGAAGTTGTGTAAATGTTTTAAAAAATTGACTAAATTTTTGCAAACATTGTCAGGCTCCATCCTGGGAGTGACATTTCCCTCCATCCTTTCTCTATATAACATCAAAGTGAAACCTAACAAATCCATTGACAGTGCCAGTCTCTTGTACCAATGCAGAAAAAGAAATTGATCAGAATTGAATACAAAGTAGACATACCGAGATTTTTTTTATATCAAATTCCTTTCAGAAAACTTCTACAAAATTTCTCAACTATAGGAACACCTGCAGATCAGCATGTCTAGTACAGCTGAAACTCTTTCTCTCGAAATTCAGGTGACGGTGTAAGATGTTTCGGCTAATCAGAATTTGGACTAAAAAAAGTATCGTAATAACGTTGATGATATCAGTTTCCTGGTTTTGTTCACTTTTAAACAGAGTATCAAATAACAAAACATGTAATAAAAATAATGTAATAATAAATAAATTTCATATGTAATTATTTGTTCTGTAACATACATTTGTAATTACTTTGTTCCATAACATACATTTGTAATTACTTTGTTGTGTAACATACATTTGTAATTACTTTGTTGTGTAATGTACATTTGTAATTATTTGTTCCGTAACATACATTTGTAATTACTTTGTTCCGTAACATACATTTGTAATTACTTTGTTCCGTAACATACATTTGTAATTACTTTGTTCCGTAACATACATTTGTAATTACTTTGTTCCGTAACATACATTTGTAATTACTTTGTTCCGTAACATACATTTGTAATTACTTTGTTCCGTAACATACATTTGTAATTACTTTGTTCCGTAACATACATTTGTAATTACTTTGTTGTGTAACATACATTTGTAATTACTTTGTTCTGAAACATACATTTGTAATTACTTTGTTCCGTAACATACATTTGTAATTACTTTGTTCCGTTACTTTGTTCCGTAACATACATTTGTAATTACTTTGTTCCGTAACATACATTTGTAATTACTTTGTTCCGTAACATACATTTGTAATTACTTTGTTCCGTAACATACATTTGTAATTACTTTGTTGTGTAACATACATTTGTAATTACTTTGTTCCGTAACATACATTTGTAATTACTTTGTTCCGTAACATACATATGTAATTATTTGTTCTGTAACATACATTTGTAATTACTTTGCTCTGTAACATACATTTGTAATTACTTTGTTCTGTAACATACATTTGTAATTACTTTGTTGTGTAACATACATTTGTAATTACTTTGTTCCGTAACATACATTTGTAATTACTTTGTTGTGTAACATACATTTGTAATTACTTTGTTGTGTAACATACATTTGTAATTACTTTGTTCCGTAACATACATTTGTAATTACTTTGTTGTGTAATGTACATTTGTAATTACTTTGCTGTGTAACATACATCTGTAATTACTTTGTTGTGTAACATACATTTGTAATTACTTTGTTGTGTAATGTACATTTGTAATTACTTTGTTCCGTAACATACATTTGTAATTACTTTGTTCCATAACATACATTTGTAATTACTTTGTTCTGTAACATACATGTGTAATTACTTCGTTGTGTAACATACACGAGTACAAAGAGATCACATATTTTACAGTTCTGTCACACACACGAGTACAAATAGATCACATATTTTATAGAATGGCAACAAAATGAAATGCCAAAAATGAAACAAAATTCTGACTCAAGCAATTTCGAGACAAGTTTCAACTGTATTTGCTTCTATCTAAATCACACAGAAAGATTTTTCCTACAACTTACTTGTTCATATGCCATGAACTTAATGGCAGTTTCCGGTGCAATCTTGATCACATTAATTCCATTACCCCGCCATAGAGATTTAACTCCTCCTTCATTCAGCATGAACCGGAAGCCATTAATCACTCCATAGTTGTTTTTACTGGAGGCATGCACCTGTTACAGAGTAATCTCCCCTTATACAATATAAACATGATAAAATTTCTATAATTCCATGATCTGTGTGAAAAATATTAAAAGTTTGAAATCTTTTCAACAAACTTTTTTTCTTTATCATATCTACACAAGTAATATTGTTACCAATTTTGTTGTATGAATTCCACTGACAAGTCCCTTGGTTTCATTACAAAAAGTAAAAGACCATAGAAATCCAAGCCATGAAAAATACTGTAATCACAGGAAATCATGACTCTTCCAATGATTTTAAAAACTCGTTTTTTGACATAATCTAAAAATGTAAAACCAAATCTTCGACACTGGATAACTTTCACTTAGTCATTTTAAAGAATTTGATAAATACACTGTAATATGATCAAATGATATGAGACTCCAGGGTTATGAATTTCACAATTTATCTAAAACACCTAAAGACCTTTCCATGCATTCATGAAGATTATATTACTGAATTGTTTAAATAATTTTAATGGCAATTAAACACATTATGCTCTAGAGTGTACTTTTTTTTTTTTTTTTTGTATAATCTATATTAACATTAACCTGTTCCAGAAGTGGTAATGTGGGACCCGGAGGATTCTATTCTACCATACCTATGTTGTGAAAAGGACATTTTTTTAACTTTTACTTTGATCCCTTCTGGCATTGCAGGAAGCAAAGGAAAGTGTCAAGTGTCATCAAAATTTTATTCAAAATTGGTACAGGGGTTTTCAAGTAAAAAATGTCACTGTATATGGACAGACAAAATGTGATCCCAGTTGTACTTACTTGTAGCAGAACTTTGAGTCTGTCCAGTGGAGCTGTACAGGTTCTCGACACAGCTCCTGCTGCTCCACCAGCCACTAGGTGGCGCCACCACATACCTGTCTGCATTTCTTTCTCTGTGAAGTCATCAGGGACCATATTGTTTTCACCAATGTCTATGATCTGTGGGGTACAAATATCATGTCACATACATATCATTCATTTTCTTATAGGACTTTAACATGTCAGACGATACCTTATATATTGTTCAGGGTTAAAGACATAGTGCCCAAACTAAAAGGGACAGGGGAGAGCACTCTGCATACAACTGTGCCATCTTGTTATATAGTAGGTTAAAACAACACAATGGTTTATTTTGATGTTGGTGAAATGATTCAGGAAGATTCAACATCAAAAAAACATGTCACTAAACAATAGCTATCCAGGTTTGGTTTTGGGGTACCTGCAGTAGAATTCAAATAATTATATGCCTGGAACTCATTTGAAGTAATAGGCACAGAATTCCTGGTTAGAAATGACCAATGATGGAGTCATGGAATCCGAATAAAATATATCTCCAATTCACTACAAGCTACACCATGGATCTTGTTTGTCTAAATGAACACAAGATATTGAGAAGAGAACTATCTACCTAACACAATGACCTTAAAACATTTTCTATTTTATCGTAACTGGTGGTACGCTGACCTGGTTTATTGCACTCCTTATGAATAAATTGTTGGACAAACTTATACACCCATGACTTCAGTAATGTAACGTTGTGGAGATACTGTATTAAGTATTTACAGACATATTTCTTCAGTAATGTAACATATCAAGGATATTTTTTGGGGCATACTTACAGACACATGTCTCCAGTAATGTAACATAACATGGATATTTTGTGGGACACAATTACAGACACATCTCAGTAATGTAACATAACATGAATATTTTGTGGGGCATACTTACAGACGCATGTCTCCAGTAATGTAACATGTCGTGAATGTTCTGAGCTGGTGACAACAACAGGAAGTTTCTCCATTCATTAAAATCTATCTTTAATGTACCATCCTTATCCATTCTAAAAACAGAAGCAAATTAAATCTGAGTTTGATATATTGTGTTTTACATATAGATATGTCAATAAGAATCACAAGGATGCTGCAGTCAGCCCTGAAGAAACTATTATAACCTGTTTGGGTGTGGAAACATTTACAAGGAACACACACACAATTCCAGTTTTAAGAACATTTATACAGTCGAGATAACTCAATCAAGTCATCTCGATAGGTTGCTAAATTAATGTGGGCAATAGACTTTCTTCCATGCTGAAGCCTTCTACAATGTATAGACAGCTTTATCCTCGTACTTAGTAATACAGCTTTTAATTGTGGTCACCCTTTCTCGATAATATCTGGAAAATGTATTAAATTTCATTTTTTTTTCTATCAAAAAATTTACAAAAATTAAAAAAGCCTTGATGTTTATATGGATATTGTTTAAAGTGAGATTGTACATTGTATACCAACAGACCTTAAAAGAGCCTTTGTACAGTAATATAAGTACATATATACTGTATTCAGTCTAGCTAACAATCTGTTATCATAATTTTATAAAGATTCTTCATGTACATTGTTGTAACAGTAATTATATACCTAGGTTAGTCAATATCTACATTTGACCTTAAGTTGTTGGCTTTTGCCTTTTTGAAATGACTTTTGCTGATATGATTTAAAAGTCACTCAATGATGGCTATGTGAACATCTAACAAGAACTATGTAAAAAACATATTTCAAACCTATCAGTGGCAAAAAAATTTTCAAATACATTTTTAGTAGCCCACCTTTGTAGTAATTTTTGTGCCTCATTTCTGTCAATAGTAAGACCTAGCTTGCGGAAAGACTCCTGTATCTCCCCAGCATCTATAGCACCTGTTAAAGAGAAATTTGGCATGTAAAATAACAGTATACTACACATGTATGGCATCATTGATAGGGCCTTAACTGTCACCTGAGTCACTATGATTCTTGTAACATATCATAGAAATGATTCTATTTAAAAAAGTAATAAACTTTTAACTATATTGCACACATAATGCAAATGTGTGTTTGAATTTTCTCACATAAAATCTTCCATCCAGACACAGGTGAATTTCTTTGAAATGTCAGTCAATTTGACCCATTTTTGGCACCACCTATCAGCCCCTGGGGGTCAGTCACAGTCAATATGTGCATCTCATCCAACAGTCAGATTATACTAGTAAGACAAAATCTAAACAATTTGGAACTGCTGAAAGAAAATAAATAAATTGTGCTCAAAAGTGTCATTTTCCTATAAGATAAAGGAAATTTTACCCCCTACCCTGGGGGAAAAGTGAAACACTGGGGTCTTGAAATTTACAATTTTTATAAAGCATCATAAGACACTTCCGTACATGAAAAGTATACGGTTCTACACTATCTTGGTATTGAGAAGAAGATTTTTGAAATTTCAGTTAATTTGACCCATATTTGGCTCTGCCTCTCAGTTCCTGCTGGTCAGCCAAGGTCGTCAATATGTGTCATCTTAAACTAATATTTCTAACCAGGTTTGAACTTGAGTGTGCCTGTCAGTTCCTGAAGGTTGAACTTGGTCCTGTCTGTCAGTCCCTGAAGGTTGAACATTGGCCTGTCTGTCAGTCCCTGAAGGTTGAACATTGGCCTGTCTGTCAGTCCCTGAAGGTTGAGCTTGGCCGTGCCTGTCAGTTCCTGAAGGTTGAACTTGGTCATGCCTGTCAGTCCCTGAAGGTTGAACATTGGCCTGTCTGTCAGTCCCTGAAGGTTGAGCTTGGCCTGTCTGTCAGTCCCTGAAGGTTGAGCTTGGCCATGCCTGTCAGTCCCTGAAGGTTGAACATTGGCCTGTCTGTCAGTCCCTGAAGGTTGAGCTTGGTCATGCCTGTCAGTCCCTGAAGGTTGAACTTGGTCATGTCTGTCAGTCCCTGAAGGTTGAGCTTGGCCGTGCCTGTCAGTTCCTGAAGGTTGAACTTGGTCATGTCTGTCAGTCCCTGAAGGTTGAACATTGGCCTGTCTGTCAGTCCCTGAAGGTTGAGCTTGGCCGTGCCTGTCAGTCCCTGAAGGTTGAACATTGGCCTGTCTGTCAGTCCCTGAAGGTTGAGCTTGGCCGTGCCTGTCAGTCCCTGAAGGTTGAACATTGGCCTGTCTGTCAGTCCCTGAAGGTTGAACATTGGCCTGTCTGTCAGTCCCTGAAGGTTAAGCTTGGCCGTGCCTGTCAGTCCCTGAAGGTTGAACTTGGTCATGTCTGTCAGTCCCTGAAGGTTGAGCTTGGCCGTGCCTGTCAGTCCCTGAAGGTTGAGCTTGGCCTGTCTGTCAGTCCCTGAAGGTTGAGCTTGGCCGTGCCTGTCAGTTCCTGAAGGTTGAACTTGGTCATGTCTGTCAGTCCCTGAAGGTCATCCAAGGTAAATATTTGTCATCTTAAACTAATATATCTGACCAGGTTTTAACTATTTCCAGTAGAAAATAAAGCAACAATGTTAAAAAATATATTTTATCTCTTTAAAATGTAGTAAATTTTACTCCCTTCCCAAGGGGAAACGAGAGCCCATGGAATCATGAAATTTACAATTTTGGAAAAGCATCTGAAGGCCTATCAATCCATGAAGATTACTTGATTCTTCCCTGGGGGTCAGCCGAGGTCAATATGTGCATCTCATAAAAGTGTCATCTTAAACTTGAAATTCTACTTGATTCTACCTTACCTGATATTTGAGAAGAAGATTTTTGAATTTCAATCAATTTGACCCTTTTTGGCCCTGCTCCCAAGCCCCTTGTGGTTGGGGACCATATCATTTACAATTTTGGTGTGCCTTTAACCATGAGAGACTTTTATAAAATTTCATTCAAATCGGTTCAGGAGCTTTCTAGAAGAAGTCGAAAATGTTAAAAAGTTACGATGCATGATGGACCATGTACGACGTCTGACAAAAGGGGATCAAAATTACCGAAAAATTATTATACATGTGTTACAAAACTAAATACACAGCTTTTTCCCCTCAGATAATTTCTTAATAATTTGTTTGGATAGAGAATACACATCAGAAAGCTATAATGAGATAAAATTCCAACAAAACATCAGTAAGAGTTGTGAGTCCCTCTACAGACAAATCAGATCAGTAATTCCAATAAAAGGTTAAATAAATTTGAACTACAAAATAAACACAGATACATGTCTGGTTTACATGATTTAGAATGTGATGCCTACATCCTCTATATTCCAGGGGTTACCATCAATTTCAATCCTGCACCCCTGGAGGAATTCTTGGCAAAATTGAAGGCACATGTAAAGTTATTTGATTAGTCTATCAGGTCTCATGAGACAAACATATCAGACATATGGAATACTCAGCTGAAAATACACCATCTTGTTTTGTATCAGATGTAAGGGACATTCAGCTGAATACACACCATCTTGTTTTGTATCAGATGTAAGGGACATTCAGCTGAATAAACACCATCTTGTTTTGTATCAGATATAAGTGACATTCTGCTGAATAAACACCATCTTGTTTTGCATCAGATGTAAGTGACATTCAGCTGAAAACAAACTCTCTTGTTTTGTATCAGATGTAAGGAACATTCACCTGAATACACACCATCTTGTTTTATATCAGACTTACCATCTTGATTTGTATCAATTTTCTTAAAATAAAGCCGAAGTTGCTGGTCATGTACAGTGACATATTTCAGAAATTCAGCAAAGTCAATCTGACCGTCTTTATTAGCATCATGTTTCTTCAAGAATTCCTGAAAATGATAATTGAAATTATTGATTGTTTGCACTTTATGTTAATCAGAAATGAATTTACAATATTTATAAACAGCACTCTTATTTGTAAAACGTCCTTCCAATCTACAATTACTTTCACCAACTTCATCATGTAGAATCAGGTTGGAAACACTTGTATATGCAAAATGGTCCTACATTTAAGTGGCTTCATTGCTTTAAGTAAACAACTTGTAACTCAAATTGGAGATAATTTGAAATAAAAACACATCAAACTCATTCAGAAGGGTGTCATATAAAATGCGAGTCTGAAGGGTTCTGGGGATTTATCAAAAGCAGAACAAACATATAACAACACGGGTTTAAAATTCTGATATTGTAAATAGAGGAATGAATACCAGATAAAAAATATGGGTACCACTGTCCTTTTTAATAACATTACACCTATTTTCTAATATCTTTTAAAATAGCCTACAGTACATTGCTCAATTTACAGCCAGAGTTTCCAGTGATAAGAGGTGAGCCCAACCTGTCAATGACATTACAACGCACGACGTTGTTGCATCACATTCTGTGATTGATATATATCGTTTTAACTGATAATATCTATACGAACACTAAGTTAGATTATTTTAAAGTCTACAAACTGATAGACTTTCATAAATAAAAACAGTTCATTCAACCCTAGCCAACAGACCGTAAAGCTACGCCCTGAGTTCCAAACAGTCACTTTCCATTAGTCATAGCCGAAAGTCATAGTTCTGAAGTGTTGACATACTTCATAAATACATAATATCCAACTGTACAAACATGACATAAATATCTTGTGCCTGTTGATGCAACAAAACGGTTCTTTGCAGCATTGGTATACCTGAGCCTGACCAACAGGAACATTCATCTCCGTGAGAGAACTCGTCAAATCAGCAATATCAATGCGTCCATCTTTGTTCACATCGAGCTTGTTGAACAGTTCCTGGTATTTCTTATTGTCCTCATCACTCAACACGGGTCTGCTGTCATCCCCCGTCATCTTGTTTCATAGACAGTACCACCACAGCTCTAGCACATGTTTATTTTCCTCTGCCACCACCAATTTATGCTGTTGTACGTTGTGATTGGTTAAAACTATTAAAGGGAAATAACTTATTAAGGTATCATGCAACTAAGTTATACTATAAGTACAGTATGCAACTATCCGATTAGTTAACCTTTAAATATATATATATCATTGTATATTTCACCTTGTTGTGAAAACTATTGTGTTAAAATAAAAAACTTACTTTGGTTTATAAAGTTATCATATTCGCGTAAATTCACCAGAATTCAATCAAATATCAAGCTACCAATATCATTTATTTTTTTGCTCTTACCTTAAAAAAAGAACAAACAGGAAATGAAATTTTCTCGAGTTTATGACAAAAAAACCTAAGCAAAAAAATGCACGATGTACACAACGAATCCATTAAATATCATCTAAGTTTTATATACTATAAATAAGCTCATATACAGGCATATAGTGAGTAATGTCACGCTTATTATATTGTTATATTTAACATCATCATTGTTTATCTATTGTAATTAAATTAAGTTATTAAGTACATCACATACAACTTAGTGTGGTAATTAGTGGGGGTGTTCGACTAGACTGGTTGTAAAGGAATAGTTCCAGTTATGACAGGTGAGAGGCCACATATTCAACGACCATTTGGCGGTTCACCAAATATAAATTCGATTGTAGTGTGTATACATTTTGTATTACACAGGATAAAACACTGTAAACGGACCGTGTAGATTGACCAGAATGAGTCCAAATGATACGAAGGTAAATATCAATTCGTTTGAAAAATATATCAACGAATAAACGTAATCACTGTGATTTTGACATTTAGTTCAGCTAATTTAGTTAAAAGAGTGCCCCAAAACGACCTTAAATGTAAAATTAAGACAATACTCAGTTCTTATTAGTTTAAGGAGTGACCCCAAACAACCTTAAAGGTAAAATTAAGACAATACTCAGTTCTTATTAGTTTAAGGAGTATCCCCAAACAACCTTAAAGGTAAAATTAAGACAATACTCAGTTCTTATTAGTTTAAGAAGTATCCCCAAACAACCTTAAAGGTAAAATTGAGACAATGCTCAGTGTATACCTGGCATGCATTTCTTATTGGATAAGGTGCCCAATGGACTTGAATCGTTTGTATTCAATGCTTTTCGCAAATGCATTCATATTTCAAACCCATCTCATTCAAAATGTTGGTAGATAAGAAGAAGTCATTGAAAGGTTTTTAAATTTGTGATCTTGAATATGGTTTAAGGACATTTCTTTAACCAAACATTTCAAAACTTCATCCAAATATCAGGAGAGTTTGTATAAAGTTTTTAACAGATAATACCCCATATGACTTGAGATATAAACAAATGTCAATTCTTTTGGTAACATTTTTGAGCTTCATCCAAGGAACCTACAAGTCTAATAACATGGCTATAGGCAGTTTGGGTTACCAGAGGTCACTTAATGGTTTAACAAATTTAATCACTGACGACTTCGTTCTGTGACGTCATTTCTTTTCACAAACCTTTCAGGACGTTTTCCCAGGGATCTTCACGCCAAGTATCATGATTCCAGACGTTTTGGTTAATGAGGAGGCATTTGAAAGTTTAAACAAATATAATCCCTGAACCTCGAATATTCATATAGTCAAGGTTTTCAAATAGGATGGGGTTTCATTCTAGCTACAATAAAAAAAATAATATTTACTCAGGATGGATGGGCGACGCACCACGACATAAGATCGGGCCCGAACGTTTCTAAGGTCAAATAAGACCAAGGCGACAAGAAGAAAACAAAACAACGTATTTCATCATCTTTATAAGGGCTTTAGTAATTAGTGTCTAACAGATACGACCGTGATCTGAACTTGTTTCAAAGAAGTCTCTTTCATTTAAACTTGTAGCTCTCAATTCCAGTAAGATAGTGGCTAAATAACATTTTAGGTCTTACAAGATACCAGCAAAAGTCATCCGACTGTTTTGGGAAATTAAACTCCAATGACCTTAAATAGATACTTTACACCAGTATGCTACTGGCTTAGTATCATCCTCATTTGGTTGATCATCAGAGGTAGTTCAACCGATTCAAAATTTGTACCACTTGACCTTTAACAAGGACTGAATCCAGTCTTTATAGTTTGCCAGCTTTCACAAGAGGAAACTTCTGGACATGATATGGCCACATACGTTTCTTAGAGAAATTCTTTACAGGAATGGTTGAGGGACACTCAGCGGCAGCTCTGCCAAGGTATAAAAATTCACTTAGAAGGAGGGTGTGCTAATGATATATAAACCAACACATATATAATATTTTGTTTGAACCAAGATGGAATCTAGATGCTATGACCCCATCAAATTGCAATATATAACTTAACACAACTTCAATTAAATATTTGATTTTATTCTGATTTAAAACAATGTCAAAGTAAAAAGAAAATATTACCTTTCAGGTCTTACTTATCTGACAATAGTTGGTACATTCTTGTCTAGTTTCTACATGTAATGAAGAAATAAACCAAAATCCTTTCGATTCATGCTATCATCCTTAACAAGTCTTCCTTAGGATTCCTTCATGATTCTGATCCAAGGCCACACTTAACCGCACTTCACCCCAAAAAGACATCCACATCAATCATGACAGAAATTCTAGTTCTGTCATACTGAGTTATACATAGGCCTAAATATTACAGATATTTCTGATCCCTAGTAATAATCAAATATCATGTGCTCTCCTTCCAATCTCTCTGAAAAATTCCAAATACATTTCCTTTTATTGAAAAAAGATATCCCATATTAACTATAATTAATACAAACACAAAATTACATGTGATTGTGCTGTGTAAACACAAGATGACAAATGAAGCTTGGTCAAAAAATGAAAGCTGTTTTCAGCCAGTTTCCAATAATGAGGTGAACAGATATAAATATGATGTATTCACTTCTGGTGATACTGTGGGCCATCAGATTAGTTTTATAGGTCAAGTCCCAGTTATTCAAATATTGGTTTTTGTTACCCATTGTTAAGTGACAAACATTAAATTATTGCTACTGAAGAAAATTAAAACCCAGAATATCAATTAGTACCCACAATAAAGTATGTTTCCAATTTTGTTTCATTCATACACTTTTTGATAACATTAACTACTTGGTTAACTCTGATCAAGCTTTGAGCAACTGGGTCAGAAATCTAATAAGTGGAAATATACTGTGTACTTGTATCACATATGAGCAGTAGAAGTTGAACTCCCTGTGTTTGTTAGAAAGTGTCAACTCACGTTTGTTAGAGTGTCAGCTCATGAAAATGGTTGAATCATAACTGATTGTATTCGGACATGTTTGGGAATATGGCCACAGTGAAAAAATACATTACAAGTATGAGAGGACTGATAGACCCGTGTCACATCTCTCAGAAGTGAAATTGTCTTTCAAGCCAGGTGATCTTACATGTAAATATAATGAAATACTAACCAAATAGCCAGAACAACTATTAATTACCTGGTAATAATTAATCACAACATTAAAAATCATTACTAACCTTAAAAAACAATCATGTTCCAATACATATAATAAATCATGGAAAATCATCAATAATTGTCTTAAATTTGTTATATAAACCGTAAACAAAAACATTAATGCCAGAAACAACACATATTGCAAATAACTAATATAGCTAGTACCTGGGTATTTAAGTAAACATTCATTGCAAATTCCAGCAGTATGGATATACATTATTTGCCATATAAAGAGTCAAAGCAAAAAAAACATACAAATATCAGAAATGTTCCACAGCTGGGTCTGTGTACAACATTTGAGGGAAGCATAAGTAATGTACAATGTAAATGATGTATCTGTACATCTGGTAACAACTATAATACACAGGTCATTAAATTTGTCATTATTTACTGTTATCATGCAGTTGATAACTATTAAATTTTGTATTAACATTGTTGACAAACTTTATAAATTACTTGACATGTTTTCTACATTACAATATACTTCTCTTTAGTTATAGGAAAAGGTATCCAAGAAGGAAACACAGGAACAAGAAAATAATTTGGATTTAAATGCATATTTAATTTTTATATAGTCTTTGAAATACCTGTGATTATGAAACACATCAATTGCAAACAGATTTCACCTTTATTTTACTCTCCAGTGTATACTAGATGTTAAAGAACTTCCTGATACAACAGTGTTTGCAATATACTATATAAGCACCCTCTAACAAGCATTTTCTCCTGTAATACTGTAAATATTCATATGTTTCAAAAATGATGATTTTAATTTCTTTTGCAATGATTCCAACTCATGTTTTTAACATTAAATAGAATAAAGTAGACATACTGTATTTAGGAACAAAATTTCAGGAGAAAACGGTATATCAACGAATATCATTAGGTTACCAAGTATTCACCTCTTTACTAAAATATGTGGAAAGTACTTATCTACATAATATCCCCTTGAATATTTTGTTGCTGCAATTAAAAAGAATGCATGCATGCACTTTATTTTTCTCAGTTTCCTAAGATTGGTTGTCCATATTAAGGCTTTATAATGATTATCTAAATCTTGGTAAAGAGTATTTAACTTGAATTCTGTTATTTCTTTATTTTTTCAATCAAAGATCGAAAAGTTTCCATAAAATTACAATAAATATCATTCAATCAGCAAAAATTAACAATGATGAACAGATTAATCTCATTCCTGTTATGGTACTGGAAGTTCAATCTCCCAAGTGTGGAGAAAAAAAAATGACTTAGTGGGAATAGAAGGACGGAAAGGTTGTGTAAACGAAGTAGTGTGACCTAATCTTGAATCATTACACATGCTCATGATTATGCAGACATAGAAATCATTACAGTATTACAGGGAATGAATATGATCATGGAAAGCACCAGTTCTAACTAACAACATATCATATCACTTCTAACTACATTATAGACATCAACAATTCCTGGTCCAAGTATTGCAGGTTATACACAAAAAAAACACGACATGTGATTGAATATGAATTGACATG